GTGACAATATTCTGTGACACGAAGGGTTGAAACGAGCGTAGAAGGATGTGTCACACAATATTATATGAATAAGTTACTCAAATTATTTATAAAACGTGAACAGTTTGACAACCGATACAATTGCGTTAGACTATTCAAATGTGCGTAAATTTTTCAATGGCGTTGGCCTATTATATGTTGTAAATGCCTAGCTGTATAAATAAAATACTAAGATTTTTATACTGTACTGTTATTGTAACGAATATTGTACTTCGCGTAACATAATTAATTTAAGTAGGAACACTGATGCAATCGAGTGTGTCTTAACGTATACAAAGTTTCATAGGCGTGCTGGATTTGTAAAATTATATAGCGAAATAAATAATGACATTAGAAGCTATAAAACTAAGTTGAAAAAGCGTTATAATTAGGCAGTGTATTCTAAGTCCCTTATATATATATAAATAATACAAAATAATACATATGAGTGTTTTCGATAGATTAATAAATATATTGGGATAATTGATCTTTAATTTCATTTTAAGCCGGTTGATACCTGATTGGGATAAAAGTTTTATTGATAATAATATATTTGTTTAATACATTTCTAGTGCAATGACGTGTGTATATTGATAGATTGTTATAAAGATAATCTTTATTATGTATAGATAATTAATATATTGAAGATTGATGATTTTTTTGTATTAATTCAAGATAAACAATACAAAATTGTTTAAACATTTAAGTTACTTCAAAGTTTTTTTTAAGATTTTTTACTTGATTTAGAATTATAAAAACTTTTGTTTAAACTTTAAACTAATTTGTTTAGTTAGAACATATAAAATGGCGTATTTAAAAATAAAATAAATGCATAACTAAGATATCAGGATTTAACTATTTTATTTTCAATATTGTTATTTATTTCATAGTTTTGATAGAATTGTGACATATTATTTAAATACCTACAGACTACACGATGCAAAGTGTCAGAGGCAGTCTTTAAATACTTCTCAAATAAAGCGTTAAAAGTAAAACTAATATATAAGTTTTATACTGGATTGGACAACCGGACTGGAAAGAAATTGTGACTTCAGGATATTACAATTTAAGCAAACTGTTAAAGTTTAAACACAATCTATTGATTATTTACACAGCACCAATTTTGTAGAAATTCTAATATACAATTCTAAAACGGTTTTGAAAATAATTTATAATTTTGGAAATTGTATTCGCGTTATGAAGCGCTTAGTTAGTTAAGTTCTATCAATAAGTGTCAAACCTATTAACTAATAATTAAGTGTAAAAAATTGTGAATGCTATTTATTTAAAAGGGTTGCTGCATACTCTCTAAGGAATAACTAGTGTACTTCAATTAATACGAATACAGTAATGTACAGCTACAATCCTCATTGCTGTTGAATTTTGTGATTAAGTTAAGAATGTTAAATGACACGACTGAAAAAATATTAATTTTCTAATTCTATTATATAAATTAGAAATATCTATTGATACATGATGAAAAAGTCAGCAACTCAAAGTCATATAATTTTCAACCAGTATGGCTCCTTTACTTTTCAGCCCAGTTCTCACCTCTGCAAATATATTTACCTCTTCTGATCAACTAAATATTCTTATACTTTATATTATTTGCTAAAAACGCGTAAATAAATGATTTATGAGTGGTAGACGTTTGCACGTAAACATACTTATTTAGCGAGCTGCCGTCATTTATTTTACATGAAATTTCCGAGTAAAAAATGGCTGGTGTCAACAGAATGATGACCGTTATAATTATTACCCGTGTCCTGTAAAAATATGCTACATTCGCATAGGAAAATTATGAGGTGTATAAATATAAAATATGTGTAGTCCTCGTAAAAATATATTCACAGCCGTTGACGTCATGATCGATGAAGGTCGAAAGATACGAACCGAGGAATATCGCGCGTTTTATTAAATTGACGTTATTATAGAAAAAAATATTCGAAGAGACTGAAATACAAGAGAAGAAAAAAATATAATGCAAATACACTGTACGGCAGTTGTACCAAATGGCGTAGTTAAAAAACTTCGATCCGGAATTGCAATTTCAAAAAAAAAAAAAAAAAAACCGATAATATTCTGTGGTGTCAACTACTTTCGAATCTCAAAGTTTTATAATCTCCCAATGACAATTTCCCGATGATTTTTCGTTTCAACGTTTTATACTTAAATGGTTTAGCTTCAATAAAACTTTCGCTGGTCTTAAATTTCAAATGGTGACAAACAATACACTTATAATAAGACTTACAAATTTCGAAGTACTACATGTAACGTAATAAACTACTACGAAACTCCGGTTTGTTTTGATTTTAAATGCTTTTGGAAACTTAAAATACATATTTTTGTTTGGTGAGAAAAATGTTCGGCTTAATGTTTAAAATAAAAAGATAAGACTTCGAGTGTTTCCTATAGTTCGGCTGAATAATGTACCAAAGTAAGTCTACTGCGCTTCCATATAATTCAAACTTTAATTTTAATTTCAACGTCGTATACAATCTAAGCAAGTTTGACAGGCACTAAAAAAAATCTCCCTTTTATTGATCGTCCGAGTAGTCTAGAAAGTTTTTTCTCAAATGTCTCATTTTACAAGTACGCAAAAATGTTGAACCATTTCTAACACATGACATCTATATGTGACAATAACGTCGTTAACATTTTGGAAGATTTATTCGCAGCGGTCTACCCAGAGACAGTAAAACGGTATTGTCAATTCATATGGATTATGGCAGCAACTTTTTCGGTATCATCTCAACATGTATAAATATAATATATATGACAATGTACTATATATATATACATCTATATATAAATTCTTACAGATATATCATACGGTCAAAAGTTGTTCGAAAACAACAGGGTCTCGTCTTCTTGTTACCCAAAGCTATTTGGATATCGCCCAATGGAACGTTTCCCTTTAGTATGCCCAAGCGATAGATAATATTATTATGTATAAGGTACATTTTGACATGTCTCTCAAAACCGTTATTAGATAAAACTTTCTAAAGCCAAGTCTCGCGTAGGTACGTTGAAGTTAACATTAAATAATGGTCAGCGAGTAAAATGTGGCATATTCAGTATTTTTATAAAATAATTGTGTTTAAAGTTATAATTTATCTTAGGGTAAACACGAGATTAATATTTTAGTACGTTATTTTTTTTTTAGACAAAATAAAATAATTAGTTTAATTGAGTTGAGTGAGTTTTACAATAAATTAACAGAAAATAAATTAATAATTTAATTTAAATTTCAAACTTTAAGTGGCCTCTCTCTGTCATTTACTAAGGTGCAATGTATAGGCAATTTTTCAATAAAACTTTACATTAAGCTAACATTTGTAAATTTATGTATTAATACAGCAAAATGGTATCTACTTTGGTGTTTAATTTTTTTTAAATTTTACAACGCCTATCGTCTCCATTTTTGTACAAAAACATGTTTCTACTTCAAACCGTGCGTTACAATTAGAATGAGCTTATTGTAATTTATTGTGTGGTTCTTATGATATATCAAAATATGATGCAAATTACAATGGGCTTGCAATTATTTAACTAAATACAAAGATTAACTTATCTAATTTAAATTATATCAGGCTATTCTATTTTTAAATTGTTTTACCATACTTGGAAACAGTTGTTTGCTTTAACATCATTCTATTGGACGTATCACTATTAGTATTATCTGACAGACTTAATACATTTCATATGTAATTCTGTCGGGGTGGTCGTCATGTATCCTATACCTATGTATAAATATATAGGATATATGACGGATACATAGAAATTGGTGACTGTAAAGTAGTTGTCAATCTATTTTTGAGTGATGGATTTTAGAGAGTGGCTTTTATAAAGTGTATATGATTGTAATTTGTAGTCCTTGTGGTTTTTAAATTTATGAAGTGGTTGGCGTTATGATGTTATTGGCTTAATCTATTACTGGTGTAGGCAATTAAAGTGCTATTAAGATTAGGGTTTTTAATTAGGTTATGAGCATGCGTCTTTAATGTATTACCAATATTTGTTTTTAATTCCATAAAGTAAGCTAAGGTTCCTTGAAAACAATTTTTTTTTTATTATAGGGATGGAAGTAAGACCATTTATGTGTTATTATCAAAAATAGAACAACTTGGCATTCTGTCCGTGTATGTGTTTAGTTTGTTCGTCAGAGCAATTCCTTTGTCCGACTATAGGGAATTTTAATTTGTCCTTAAAATGTTATCAGTATGTTCGTTTGAATATCTAGATGAAATTATTCAAGTGATAAAAATACATTTTTATGGGAACTTTTTATTTTTCTCGTGATTTATTGAACATATACGTCTACAATTTGCACAGTTCATGTGGTTGGCTGAATAAAATATTAATGTTAAAAATTTAAGAAGTTATGACTATTTCTTCTGTTATCTGTCGAATTTACCTTATACCTTTTACCTTGATAAAGGTTTCTTTTTGGTTTTCTCGTGATTTCAAATCCACATGAGTAGAATTCGTTTTTGAGGAAGTTATGCGCCAAGGATCTGGTAGCAGTTTTTTTTCTCAAAATAACATTAACATTTTTTTATGTATGTGGTATTTTATAGGTAGATAAACGAATTACCATTATTTATTACCAACTATTTGTTAAAAGACTAAACGTGAACCAAAGTTTATTTATTTTAAATTAGGTCACCTTGTAATAATTTTTTAATTAGTGCCTACAACAAAGTTCAATATTTTTGATGTTGTACTGATTGTCTTGTACAGTTTTGGGTAGTTGGACAGAACGGTCGTTAAAAACAATACATGTATAACAACTATAGGTTTGTTAAAAAAAAGCCAAGAAATCGAATTAATTAAATCTAATAATTATTCGGTTTTCGGTAGTTGGATGTTTAATATGTATACCAAAGCAAATTTAATCACTACAATACAGTGAAAACTGGAGAACAGTTAAACTTTTAAGGGATGGAATGGAATTATGAAACTATTATAAATGTACTTACATTCTATGTTGTAGCTTGAAGTCGTATTTTTCCCGCAAAGAGTTGTCAGATGATAAACTCACGAGGGTAACGGTTGGGGTTGCACTGTGGACTTAACGAGTAGGATCGCCGGTCTGTGGACCGTCAAAGGTTCGAGGCGCAAGCGTTTAACAGCCGGTATGCACTCGTGTGGTGCTAGTATTAAAATAAAATAATCGTAGTGAGATGGTTTCAGATAAAAAAAAATTGTATATTTAAATTTGGGTTGTGAAGGCCGCTAAGAATCGCAATAACAATAAAAAAGAAAAAAAAATCAAAACTTGAAGCGGAAAAAAGTTAAAATACATTTTTGTTTGAGTCATCATAACGACGCCTATTAATTTCAAAATATTTTATGTATAAAATGATAATTTTTCAAGACATTTTTTTAAAATTATATTATTTTTGTACGAATAATTCACGTGGTGAGAGCCAAAATGATATAGTAATACTCATAAAATTTCACTGAAGAGCAAATTGAAAATATTTCAATGTGTTCTATAACTGACAATATTAATTATTTTCTTTCTATATATATTTCAATTATATTAGGGAAAAAATTATTAATCAATTCGAAAGAGGTTTTATGAAAAAGAAGGTAAAATTAAAAACATTTTTCTCTTGTACCCTTCAGGCTTCAACACCCTAAGGGTATATTCATGTTATTAAATTGTTACATTACAATTTATTTATTATATGTTATTTGAATTATTTAAGAATAATGTATACATACGAGTATACAACACTGAACACAGCTAATGTCATGTAATGTTTTTTTTTTTAGTTGGAACATACAAAATTGTTATCTATGTATTTAATACTTTTTATTTGCTTAGTTTGTAATAAAAAACAATGTGATGTATCGAATATCTCATTTTAAAATTTTAAAAGATAAAGTTTTAGTGTTTTTCAGATAAAACAAATTCTATTGTAAAAACTATACTAATTTTACGGATAAATACTAATAACTACAATACTAATTGTCGCGGATTTTAAATAGTGATTGTAAGTAGATGAAAACGAAAACCTTAAAATTTGTTGGAATGTTGAGTACTTATTTAATACTTGCAACATTTTTCTACGCTTTTTAGCGGATTCAATTTTATTGTTAAAACTAAAACTTAACTCCTTTTTCTTTTTCGTTTGTTGTAATCAAACTATACAACAAACTCATTTTCGTAAAAAATGAACATATAATGTATAATATTATGGAAATAAGCCATCAATACATTATAATATCGATGGTTTTTGGTACGGTCCTTCGAAATATAATCGTATTGTAAGGCTATTCCAGGTAAGCTACTATTCTTAGTTTAGAGGTTAGATAATAATATAATCAATATAAAGAATTGTGAAACGTGACGGCTTAGAGTTATTTAGCATTGCAATCAGGATCGGGTTGCCGGCTAAGTAGATTATTATATTCACGATAACTAGCACAAGCCTACTTAGAGGTGTGGCCTTAAAATGAATCTAAAAAAAAAAAGTTTGTCAATAAGAAAGCAAAAAATAGTGTCAGCAAAATAGCATACCGATAAAAATATTGTCTAATACAAAATGTTTAGAATAATCGTTATCATTTATCGATTGTATGCTATCGTGGTAAATTTAAAAGCGCAAGAGCTTTTATTTTGTCAACTATATATTCAATACTTACCTATACTATACATAGTATTTCAAATTATGTAATTATTTACAATAACCTAAAAGTACAAATGAATCAAATATCATTATTTAATTTGCAGTTCGTTCAACTAAACAAAATATGTTAATTTTTTGGGTTCATTTACGCTTGAATAAACTATGGATACGAATAAAAAAAAATATTTTTTTAGAAACTTACGGTCTTTTGATGCGTAGTTTACCTAATAATATATATTAGCATTTCTGTTTATCGTGACAATGCCTAACGTGTGACTTCTAAATTAATGGTTTGTTAGATAACGATCAGTTTTTTTTAATAATTGAGGAAGTCTGACACCATAAAATACAACACAATACCATTTTTTAATATTTATACATCTGGTTATGGTCTTTTTGAAAAAAAAACCATGCAACGTGGTTGTTCGTCAGAGTGCTTTAAAAGATAACCTACCTTAAACTCTCATGATCCATTTAACATGTTAAAATCTGTTTTACTTTCGAGGGAATCTTGCCAAGGGTCAAATGATACTGAAATATTTTTTTATATTTTTCTCAAATAACCCAAAAAATATTAATTTTTGAAAATTCAAACGAAAACGAACACAAATAAAAATATTTTTTACTAAAATTTAACTGGTGATCATTATTGCAATGCACTATATTCCTATTTCCTACTAATCAAAAGAAAACATGTAAATTACTTCTTTGTGGGGCTCTTCACTACCATTTATTGAGGTGCATTATGTAAGCACTTTTCCAATAAAACCTAATCAAAGCTATTGTAAAACTCATATAACAAAAAGGTATCTATTTTGATAATACGTTTTTTTTATTATTATAATGCAGACGGCCCCCTTTTTTTTCGTTCTCATAAAATACTCTATGAAAAAACTTCAGGCATCTATTGTGGCACAATTTCAAGGCATGTATTCAAAAATGTAATTTTTTTTCAAAACTTTTGTCGAATTACACGTTCCAAAGTACGGTTAAAATTATAACGAGTAGTTTTTGATGAAAAATGTAGATTCCTTAGCTACTTAAAATATTTGGGTCATATATTTAATTTGAATTACATCGAACTTATTTTGTTTTATCTGGTTATGAACTAATCAGAAACTAATGTGTTTTTTTTCAAAGTGACTGCAAAAGTTTAGTTTTTAACTTCTATTAAGTGACCAAATCGAAATTCATAATTAGTTTGCAGTAGTTTTAGATGAAAAGTTTGTAATATAGTGGGTCCAAAATGTTGATTTTAGGTTATCACAGTTTTGCATGTAGAATCTGATTCTACACGTTTAGAGATAAAATAACTTAAAAATCTATACTTTTCCATTAAAATAAGTTGCTAGTTATTAACAAGGAATAACTAATAAAAACAATAATAAACTGTCACTACTATTTTATGGAATTATCTAGCATTGCCTATGCGTTTTTTCTTTTATAATAATGGCCACGACCTTCTGCTGCCGAATGAGTTCAGTTTTTAGTGGTATTAACACCATCGCCGGGTAGTTCGACTCTCTTATTACTGACTGTTTCTTCTTATGGACCGGGTCTCAAAATTGTATAGGTAGGGTTTGGCTGGCAACCAACTATAATCTAAACTATTAAATTGCTAACTGATACTTCTGTTGGTAGGAAAACGCAAATATTATCCGTTCACAAACAGAATTCAAACCAAGTAATGATGAACTTAGAATACCTATTTTATATGTTTAAAATTTGTTATTATATATTATATTATAGTAACATTTGGGATTTTATTTTCATTGATAAAATATTGCACTTAATCTCTCTATATCAATTCAACGATCAAGTTTAGCCTCACATGGTTAAAAAAATATAATGAATTGGTTTAATATTTGTTGAATAACAAAAGAAAATCTAAGAAAAAAAAATGAACATTTTTCGTATACACCGACACATTTTATATAATAATTTATTACAACTGGCTTTTTTTTAGAAACAAGAATTTTTTTCTATTAATAATTTCTTTATACTTGAGAGTAGTAATCTGTGTTATGAATAAATTTCGTTAGTATTATTTTGTTCATTTTGATTGTTTACAACATCAGTAATAATTCTATAATCAAATAAAAGTTTACTTGAAAAACTCGCCCAATCTTGATTTTGATTGCCATTATCGGGATAACAATATATAAATAGTCTTTATGTAGTTTGTATATGACCTGTATATCTAGTGCTTATATTAGTATACGAGCGGATTATTATTTATATAATTATTAGTTTAGTGCATTTTTCGAGTTCCAATGGCATGTTATGCGAGTATGACAATTGCTTTCAATCAAGCAAGCTGCAAGGTTTGGGATTATTTTTCGGACAGAATTCACATTTTACTCGCTAAATATAAAAAAAAAATATAGTCTATATGTTGCTTTGTTTTTAAATATTGTCGGCTAAAATAAAACTAACATACAAACATTATGATGATGTATAATTAATAGTATGGATATTGTTGTGGTAGTCAGTGAAGTAAACTGGTGCGGATCGCGTTAATTTAAATTGGTCTGTAACTTATTTTAGTTAACGATTATTATTATACTTTTAAAATGTTACTACTTAACGTACAAACGTTCGACGGAGAAGGACAGAGAAGTAACGAGGGAAGAAAGATTAGGGGGAAGGGGAGGGTAGAAAAAAAAGGGAATGAAAACAAAAGAAGGCGAAACGGTCATAGACAATAGGAAATAGTTACGCTGACTGGATTTTAGTGTACTCGCCCATTCACGGATAAAACTGTTACACTGAGTAAATGTAGTTGCGTTTCGTCCCTGGGGTACCAATAAGTTCCCTTGTGTGTCGGGATTAGTGTAAGCACGCCAGTTCGGGTCTACTGCATCGTAAGAGGAAACGATAAGATCCACGAATGAGAGAAACCTTTTTTCTGAATCTCCGCTGGCTCTTCAGAGTGAAACACTTTGTGCTAGGGCGGGCCGACAAAAGATTTTTAAAATATGGTTTGCCAATGGAACGGCGAAACCACTGTGCACATTTTACAAGGCCTTTGAACGTAATGAAATTATCAAGTTTGACCGACAACAGTTCGACGAGGTACATATAAGGTGTAATCAATACAATGGTGTTTATACAATAGAGTTTACCTATATCATTGATTAAATATAGCGTATTATATGGCGTCATGTCGATAACAACTGTTGTCATATCAATAGTATGTAGTAGCCATTTGTGCCCAAATATGAACTGTGGTTATGTTTATTTTTATGCAATAATGATTAAATATGAAGAATACACTTTACTTCATTACACTTAATTAACGGTTTTGTTAAGTTGAGAGTTTAAGTAAAAAAAAACGTAAGGTGTAACTCGAAAAGCTATTAATATTCACAGTTAATGAACATTTTCAAGTGTTCGGGCAGTGTAAAACTTTTAACTTAAATCACTTTGAAAACGGCAAAATAATTGTGTGGCAACGCGTATATAATATTACTATAAGTAAGTTTTCACCGAACAATTTTGGAAACGCGGTTCGTGTCATATGCTTTATGTAGTTATACTACACATGATATAGTGTAAATAGATTTTCACAGAGGTAAGAGATAGTGTTATTAATTAGTACACACGCAACCCTTTAATCGTTGATACGTCCAAAACATGGTTTGAGTCTCGTGATAATATTTTTACCGATTAGACACCAATTTTAAATTGGGTGACATATACTTTTAGTTTAGCTAAACATTTCGGTAGGACATTATTAGTTAAACAATAACGATTTAAAATATTTTTAAACTGTAGTTAATCAATAATTAATTATTCTTATTAATATGTGCTAAAAAATAAAACAACGCTACCTATAACTAAAAAAAAAAAAACAAGTACAATTTTTTATGAAAATAAGTCGAAAGCATATTTTTGTTATTATTAATATAACGTTTATTTTAAGATACATTTTTTAATTTTTCTCAAATAAATTAATTTTTTAAACAAAACAATTATTTAATTTTGTTTCAAAAATTGTAAAGTGATTTTAAATATTGTTAACGAAGGACAAACAATTATTTATTTAGTTTATATTTTATTTGAAAATAATTTTCCTAATTTTAATTGAAAACTATAAATATGTTATTCGTCACATATTTCAAAGACTTCAGTTTATATTTTCTTATAACGGTTACGCAATCACTGGAATCGTTACAAAATCATGGATGCACCCTTTAAACATTTTCTAAGCTCATATACCTTTAGTATACATAAAGTTATCAAAGAGGCGAATGTTCGGTAGACGCTGCTTAAAACAGATTTCCAGTCGATCGTCGTTCGTCGAAAACGGCGTTTCCCCAAAAGGATTATTCCGACCCAGCAAGAAAACAAGTATAACGTCACGCATTTGTTTAGTTTTCTTTTTTAAATCACTAACAATTTGTTACCCTTTCATTTGGGTGCGGTGTAAAAATGGTAGAGAGTATAGAAATGGTAGCATGTAGAAAGTATCATAACAGTACGAAAAAAACAAGGCGCTGAAGATTAAATGAGAACGTAAACGAGAAAAATGTCTGTTGCATTTAACGGTTCGCCACATTTATCATGTCCGTTTCTTATGTGATTTATGTTTAGGATACTTTCCTTATTAATTTGTATCATCTGTTTTTATTTTTATGTTTATAATGCGTTTGTGTATAGATCTGAATAAAACCGAATGGTAATGGTATTGTGTTATATGTGTAGTTCCCTTCTCACGTGTTTAAAAAAATAACAATGCTGGGTATCGCAAACATTTTATTGTGTAATTTAGCGGTTCATTAAAATTGAATGGACTATTCACTTTGGTTTTTAAAGAACTACTGAATGTTTAAAGATTCAATGGAAGTTTATGTAACCTGTCGCACAAGATAAAGTATAGACTACAGTTAATTTTATACAATTACATAATTAGGTTAAATAACTAACTAGACCTCATCTTACCAACAGTAAGTTGTAAATATAACCTGCGCTCAAATGTATGAGATAAAGGCATTGTTTCGCCGCCCTGAGAGAAGTTTGGAAATCTACTTTTTATATATGATAAGCTTTTACGCATAGCTTTGTAATGCTTCTTTATATATTCCACTTGCTGGAGCTTATATTTCATTAATTTCTATTTTTGTTTTGAATGTGATACGCGAAGTAATAGTAGGCTACCCCGATGCCTTAAACGAAAAAAGTTAAAACAGAAATTACACTAAGTTATGCTACTCATTGAAAATGAGAAAAGAAAAATATGCTTCTCAAAATTAAACTAAAAATGTTTATAATTTGTTGCTTTTGTGGCAGTATTCTCTACGATAACCGGCAAAGAAATCATGAATAATTCTAAAGCTTTTTGTATTTCCATTAAGAATTTTTTTCTAAACCCTTTATTATGCATTACTCAGAAATTGTTCGATGTTAATTAAAAAAAGCAATGTTTTTTACTATCGAAATATTATTTAACGTTTAATCGAAGTGACTATATAAATTATAATAAAACAACTCTTCAGGTTTAGTGGAAAAAAATGGAAGAACTGCTGTTCGAAACGTCAATTTAAAAATGATTAAAAACAACGCTGATATTAACAAATAGTTTAAAAATAAAATCGCTTTAAGAGTTTACGCAAGTTTGAAATTTATGACGACGAGGAACATTTAAAAAATATATTTTTTATTGATAGACTTTTGCGTTTTACGTGATTACACGAGAACTAGACGAATTATTATTTTTGCGTTCACTGTCCTCGAATCTAGTTAGAGTTGCTTTACTGTCGTGGCAACAATTCTTAGCGGTGATTGGAGTGGTTTTTTATCTGTTTAACTGCGGATAGAATTTGTCAAAACAGAAAATTATATATTTGCGGTATTAGTCGTGGAGCATTTAGTACCACACAAAACGGTTAACCGAAGCAATTTTCCGGATCGGTGATATTTTTTGGAACGTCGAAATTCCAAATTGAGACTAACCCACACTTGCAGGTCGTTCAATGTAGACCTCCGTTGCCGCCAAGGCTTTTTTCGGGGTAATAAAACTGTTACGAACATTATTACCACCCACTGTAGAACGTTGATGAATCGCTTGTACCTTCAGCCTTTTAAACGCTATACAAGACCATACATTATGTTATTACAAGAGAGGGTGGCCACTCGGGTTTGAAAGAGGTAGACAACAGCGGCGGTACGGTGGGTTTCTGTTACGCGGTCCGTTGATCCGCATACAAGGGAAACCTTTTAAAAACCGGGTGACCCGCGGTAATCCGTGCGCGCCGTCACTGCTTGTGGACAGTCGTGTTTCCGGTGGTGCTCGCGTTCCGGCCATGTCACCGACCGAGTTGTCCGCGCCGCTGTGCTCGGTCTTGGCGACCGTCGTCGTCTTGGCTGTCGTCAACGTCGGCGTCGCCACCGCCGCCGTGACAATAAACGTGACCCACTTGTGTGGCCTACCGGTGGACGTCGCTGGCCGCAAACCGCATCACCACCGTGTGCCGCCCCGGCCACCGTCACTCATCAAAGCGTCTGACGCTACAGCCGTCGTGTCCAGGACGGCGACCGACAAGCAAACGACCGTGCTGTTCGCCGTCCGAAAGCCGTGGATGACGTTCGCGGTGTCCGGCCACACCAACGTACTGTCCGACGTGGCCAACTTAACCGCATCCGACCGGACGGTGGCCATTCCGTCGCCGCTGCAGCGGTTTCCCAGCGCCAAGTACGGCGAAAACGTCAAGCTGGACCAGCAGACAATGTCACCGGATTTCGGTAGCGAAGACGGTGGCGGTTTCTTCGGATTAGGTTTTGTCGTCGGCTCGGCGGACGCCGGACTCAGAGCCGTCGGAGTCGCCGAATCGCTGGTTATGTGGCAAGCCGTGTCAGCCGAGCTTGTGCTCGACCTCATCAACAACCCATACGACTGGACAACAGTGGTGAAAAAAGTAAAAGACAATTATTTACTGACACAATGTTGAAAGTACTGGTCCTTTAAAAATGACACCGTATCTCGAACTTAACTAAAAAAATGTTGCTTAAGAACATTTACTCAAGAAACCTTAGCCATAAAAAGTCTTACTGCTGCAAATAATGAGTTTTATAAGTATCCATGTTAGATATAATTCATAGATTAGTTGTAAATTATCTAAATTAAAAATTGTTTTTAAAATGTTATTAAAAAGGTCGGCCTTTTTAAGGGGGACTCAATGAGAAAATCGATGGTAAAAACTTGAATTAAAAAACTAAAAATAATTGTAAATAATATTAATATAAGTACGAAGTAAGACATTTATTAATTTATGCAATCCATATATTAACAGTTTTTTTATCAGTATTTTCGTAAGCTGGCTAAATTACACCACGTTTGCCATTTCGCAAACTTTTTCGGGAGACAACATTAATAACCCTGTGAAATTGTCTGTATTTTTTTAACCGTATTAATGTATATCAGTTTTCGTTTGAACTTTTTTTTGTCTGTGACACTTTATACAACTTAAATTATACAATGCCACCGCCGAGTGATGTTTCTCTGTTTGTGTAGTTTAAGTTTGACACGGTCGTATCGGGCTGGGAATTGCGAGATATAATTTCTACGTAAGAGTTCCGGCAGAATAAAATGGTTAATTCTAGACACGCTTAATTTCAATTATGATATTATAAGTACAATATATGCAAATAAAAAAACGCAAAAAATGTTCAAATACCACATAAGCACGTCATAATAATATTATCTTGGATGTATAAATAATATACTTTTTAAAACTATTCCTATAAACACAGTCTCGATCAAATGCTCATATATTTTTGTTTATGTCGTCTTATATCCTTGCGTTGTTATTGTTATTAATATTTTATTTTGATATTAAACCGCTTTTATGTTGTCCGTTTCATATCTATCGGCCACGTTGCGCATACTTTGTTGCGAGTGCGCGTTCATGTGGTATTAATGTATAATAAAAAACGATTTAGTATTTAATAAGCAATAAATTATTGTACTATTCGTCGGGGACGAGGAGATTTTTCTGATATATAATATTCGCCCAACCACGTGGTGCACGGTTGATGGTTTTTTGATAGTAAAACGTCATCATAACTTTTCATACTTACATAGAAGAGAAGTAAAGTCACCGTAAGAACTACCCTGCGTGACATATTGCTAGATTGAATTCTCAAAGAAACTTTAACTGGAATTAAGAACTATAACAAGTGATATCTTGAGGGGTAAAAATATAAAATATTTGGAAGTTAAAAATATGATTTATTATTTATAAAAAATACTATAGTGAATTAGTGTTTTTCGGAGGAAAGGGGGAGACATTTTGCACTCTCCTTTTCTCCCGGAGTTCCATAATTCATCTCTGTATGTGATTATTTCCCAATTATTCAGAATATTTTAATTTTGCGGCTGTGAGGTCAAACTTTGGCACGCGATTTAAAATAAGAGTGGGCGCCTGTGCTAGGGTCTAGGACCCAGCTTACAAACATATGACCTTTAAGATGATTTAAAAATAAAGAAGATTTTCATGATTTTATGATATAATACTATATTTAGTTATTACATATTATTATACACGAGTTAAATAACTTAATAAAATATATAGCTATACAATTAATAATTACAACGAAGACCAAAGAATAAACAGAATTGAATTAAAATATAAATTGGTTTTGTTGCCTTAAAATATTAATTAGTGGCCAGAACGATCAAATTGGTTTGCGTATTTCTATACCTACCACGAGTCTACCTTCAGGTAGACTGAAGGTTTTTGATTATAATTAAAAATGTATTTAGCTTGTGGAATTGTTTCTCGGGAGTTAAAATTACTGTTACAATATCATATTTTCTTGTATATATTTGATGCTTATGCAACAAGGGAATAAAAAAAGGATGATCTTATACCCTAATAAGTTATAAACATGAAGTTTTTTTATGTTGAAGTAGACCTACATTTCAATTATTATGTTAAAAGTAAATTAAAGTTTAGCTGTGGAAAGTGGGTTACAGAATTCAAAGTTTCTTAAGTTTAAAACCCGAATACGAGAGATTCGAAGCTAAACATGTTTTATAAGATCATGATTTAGCGAAACGAATGAACAACTGAAAACGTTAGTTATTTTATAACCAAAATTGAGTATAGGTACCTACTAAACTACGATATTCGATTTGCAATCCCACAGAAACGATTCCGTCCACTAAAACTTAATAGAAACCAAAATTAACCTTGCCATTTTCTCCGTGGGGATTCGGTCAGTTGATAACATTTATGTGTTATTCCAAAAGCTGTACACATCTGAGTAGGGCGATAGTATGTTCTTGTAAGTATAGCGATTAGGGCTTTTTGGTTCGGGATATAATTGCAATTTATTAAAACGATGTGCTTGGTAAACTTTTTTTACAAAAAACAATTATCAAAGTAATGTGTACCTGTTTGCTATTTTTGATTATAATAAAAAAATATGTCTAACACAAAGTCTAAAGATTGATTTAACTTAATTAAATATATTGTCATGTACAAGAAAGTTTTCCGTATCCCACAACAAAGATGTCAATTTAAAAACAGGACTCTCTATAAAACTTTTCCATAAATTAATTTGTAAAAACAATTATGACCATTTGCACTGAATAAACTTAAAATTAAGGATGGGTATAACCTATTTATAATTTCAGTATTGTGAAATATCCTTACATTTTCAGTGTGTTACAGTTGGTAAAAACCGCCATTAGGACATTAAATAATATTATATGAATTATGAATTAGATGTTTACAGTTACTACATAGCTCCTCTAATACACGATAAAAAGAGTTGAGCCCTAGAAAAAAATATACTTATAGTTAAAAATTGTCCAATATTATTTCCTTTGCACAATATAACTTATACCCAGTTATAACCGTAATTTTATCAACACTTTTTTCTCTTATAAAGCCAAAAATAAGGGGACACTTTACCTCAAATTACTTCACTTTGTTTATTTATTATACACGTCAATTTTTAGATATTGCCGTACGAATGGCCGTTAATGGTGGTCTGCTTTGTAATGCTGTTAAGCGGTTTGTTGCTCACTCGGTATGGCCTGTATTGGCAGAGGCGTTACAAAGAAGCAAAGTGGCTGGGCGACACCGGCTGGGAGTCTGGTTGCAAAAAAGGAGTACTAGTTGTTGCTGTCCAAATTCTCTTGCTCATGCTTGGGTAAATATGCATATGTTAAGTATACATTGTAAATTAGCACTAGTGTTGTTTGAATAAAAGTGCGTTTAGTGCAAGAATAGCTAGTTTCATAACTTTAATAAAACAACAAAGACAAATCGGTTAAAATGAATATATGTCGAGTACACAATATTAAATGTAAACATTGTAAGTATGTACTATACAGTCAAGTATATCGACTTGTTTGAAAGCTTTATTGTAACATTAAATGCGCAGAGGTCATCCGATTGGGAAAAATTATTAACGACCATACTTAAAATTTAATGGTCACCGTATTGAGGTCATTATTATACCTATCGCTCGAAATATCGTTTACTGGCAAACAATGTTTTTATCCGTATTAGGGCGAGGGTAATAAAACAAACAATAGAACATCAATTATAATTTATTTGTATTTCTCCCGTTAAACGCACAACCCTAATCTAGCCTATAGATCTACATTCAGTCTAATTTTCAGACTTTCAGCTCTAAAATTACACCTAATAAAGTAAAAGAAAATATTCCACCCCAGCTAGAGGAAAAGATTTTTAATATTTTTTAGTTAGTAAAATTTACATAATATGTCTATTGGTCTATTGAAAAAAAAAATTATAGTACGCTGTAATTTTAAGCTGATAAATATGTACATTTTTGGGTGTTATTCTCGAGGTAGGAGAAACTTTTTAAATTGTTTGGTACAATAAAGTATCTTTCAGGTACGGTTTTTGATTTAAATAAATTGTTATAATATGAAAAAATCTGTTCAACCGTTTAGAAATTTTCAGACCCACAAAAAAAAATACAGTGTAAAAACTAAAAACAATACCTCCTAATCTTCGCGTCGAAGCTATAGTTATAAAATTGTATCCGTTAATTCATTTTTTAATTTGAATTATTAGCTGTTGTTAATTTTAATGAAATAATTTATTGTAATATAAATGCCAATGATCGAAAATAATAGGTGAATAATTAGTATTCGACATATTTTATATTTCAAAAAAGCATACTCGGGTTTAATGTATGATTAACCAATTCTACTTACCCACTCTACCATTTATACAGCTTGGTACTCGACCATCTGTCAGAATTTGTAACCACTTTATTATACACAAAAAAGCCATTTGACACTTCTTTACCACCCGAGGCTGTAGGTAGGCTTGATAATTAAACAATAATTGTAAAAAATCTCAAACATTTGATCTGAACAAGACATCGTTTGTCGTCGCTGAGTGGTATTTTTCCGTACAACAACTTAAATACTTATAAACAATTAAAACGAAGCACACGTATGCTGATTTTCAATATTGTATTATAATATCCCTAGGCCCGAAAACTAATAATGTCGTTTAAAAACCGAATGTATATTTTATAAAATATTTTGTTGTATAATGTTGCAATAAATATGATAATAACAATAAAAAAAAATATATACATATATATATATACTTTAAAGACAAACTAGATTTAAAGTAATATCATGTTTACTATCCTATATATTCATCTGTATAAAAATATACAGGATGAATCATTAAGGATAAGACGCTCATTTTTTCTTAAAATAATTACTATTTTGTAGTTTAATTTTTTAAAACATTATTGTTTATGTTATTTCCACCTTCCACCCTAAATTTTAGACTTTAATAACTCAAGAGTAGTTTTCGACCAAACAATATTTCCAGCAAATTGTTGTTCGTTTAAAATGTTAATTAAATATATATATTTTACCATTGAAGTTTTAGAAGTTGTTAGAGGCCTGAAAAAAAATAAAAAGATACAAATTTAAAAGTTGTAAAATAACACAAACTAAAGTGCATCTACAAAATTGCAATTATTTTAAGAGAAAATGAAAATCTCATCTTTAATGAATCCCCCATATACGTATGATATGCAACAAAACAGATAAAAAATAACAAATAAACAAAAACAGAATTTATTAACATCATGATATATGACAACCCTCGTCATCATATTAACAAACATAATATTATCTCGACACTCTTTAACTCGACTATTTGTAAGTTTGTGGACTTCACTAGCGCTGAGCGTTTAAACAAAAACTGACAAGCACTAAGGGCTCTGGACTTCATAATTGATCACTATCAAATTACCTTTTATAACAATTAATATAATTACCCAAAATCTACAATAAATATTTACTGAAGGGTTTTTGATTTTTTTTGTGCCCAAAGGGTATTGACGACAGATTAGTCTCGCGAGTTATTGAGGCAACTCCATTAAAAGATAATTATAATTTCGAAAACTCAATTACCAACGTCAATATTTATATTATGATTATTAAACGAATTTTTTCCACCCATGACTTAAAACCCGTGATATTATTTTTTGTCGAGAAACGATTAAATTTTATAATTGCTGTACTTTTTTTTTATAATAATTGGGTCGATGTTTGATTTTAACTGCGCGGCGAACGACAAACTGCAATTTTAATATAAAATATGTCAAGATATTTAGTTTAAGTTTTCTATAACTTATTTTCAATAATTGTTTTGGTTGTTTGTACTCATGGAAATAATACCACTTTGTTTCCAGAGCTGGCGCTTGTGGTCTTGTTGTGACCAACGAAACCATGGGATCGGCCGTGTTCGGTGTCGGTGATCTTTTGGAGTATGGAGTCGGTGACTTAGTGGATATGTTCTCGGTGACTCAGAAGCAAATCAGAACGATTGCCGTAGGCTCGATGGACTCTACGACTGATGCTGTTTTCGCGAAACTCGATGGTAAATACCATCAAAATAGTAATTGTATTACATTTTAATATCTGATACTGTTATTAACGTTAACTGCTAATTGCGGTTCTTGCGATTCCGTTTGAACTTCAAAGTGCTTAAATGATTTCAATCTAGCTTGCCTCTAGCTTTGATTCAGAACCGAGCATATAGTTATTGATTTTATAACAATGTGTTTTATATTTTAATTATAGTGATTCTATCACTTTCAGCCATCATAATTCCAACAGACCTGTTACCGACCCTATTGTACGTGTATTGCCCGACTCTATTGAGCTGGCTTTTGTTTATTTGCCGTTGGGACTTGGGAATGGCTCCTGTAAACGATCGATTTACCTAACATTATAATACATATAAATGGATTTCGAACGACCGTTGAACTTTCTGCGTTATCGAGAAATTGAACCTTAACGAGTCACGAAGGAAATCAAAATGCAGAATGCAGCCGCATTCTACCATTAGTATGTTATTGGTTTATAGAGGATGCGAGTAATAAATTATTGTATATTGCTATCGAGGACAATAATTTTGAAGTCCAGAATGATTATACCGAGACGAATAAGTATACTATGTATACTTTACTGGGCCAATGACCTTCTTAAAAATGTATATAGGTACTAAGTTGTTTATATTCACTGCTCATATTAATAGATAGGAAGAAATAAAATACTCTAAAGTTTTTAAGTAAAAATTACATTATTTATTTATTATTTTAACAAGGTTATTATTTAGACCAGATGGATTACTAGACGTGTGGAATATATAGGCTAGTTGAATTACCTATTTAATAAAGTGCTAGTGAAGGGAAAAATTCCAGAAACGTAAAGGAATAGTTTTGTAGTAACTATATTTAATGATAAGGGAGATGTAAGAATGTGGAAATTATAGAGGATTATAAATAATGAGCCATGTTATGAAGATTTGGGAAAAGATTATAGAAAAGAGAATTAGAAATGAGACATCAATATGCATACATATATTAGGACAAGAGTGGCTGACCTTTAAGAGCCAGAATGAAGAGTTGGGATGAAGGAGAAGGGGAAGAAGAAGAAACAAAATTTATTTATTCATATTTTTCTAATTATCGGGAAATGGAGTTTACTTAGTTTTATTTAGGAAATCTTCAGATTAATTTAAAGGGCATTTGATAAAATTATTTTAGAACCTATTTATGAATAATACATTCAAATATAATAATAGTATTCTATTATAAAACATTCATGGGAAATTTTAAATACCGAGTTAGTTAATTCGCTTAGGGATTGATAAAAGAAAGTTCAGTCTGAATAGCCAATATTTATTATTTTTTTGTGCAATATTGTATAATGAACCAATTACTACAAAAACAATTCCCAATATTGTCTTGTCGCACCTAACCGTCAGTAAGCATGGAAACCTATCAACCCCGATGATAAAAATGTTGTTTTCCTTTACCTATACAGTACAAAAATGTAGGTATAGATTGATTCTTAACACGTTATTCGAGCCGCACCTTCAAATGTTGAAGAGTCACCCGTCAAAACCAAACCGTCATTTCCGTCTATAGACTGAATTATGTCCAAATGAATGAACAATGACGTCAGTTCTAATTATTTTTGTATACACGATTTTATAAGTACAGTGATGCAGAGTATAAAATGAAATTACTCGCCCCGGCTGCATCATTTCCCCTCTAATCTATCATCTCAAACAGATGCAATATTACAAGTAAGTTTTTTCACTCGATATCTACATTTTACGACTCCCTCTGGTTTTATAACTCTACTAATAAAATGTACCCACGCTTAACAAGAAGTCTCTACTTTTTTCCATTTTGTCTTTATGCCGTCAATTAAGTAACTACACTCGTTTAACATTCTGTCCATACCATTCGCATTTAGTCGTAATTTACATCTCACACTGATTATTTTTTACATTTATACTTTGCCAATAGTAATTTAAGCCCGTCGTTTCCAGGTGCCTCATTAAATTTGTATTATTTTAATTTTGCTAAAAACAGTTTCTCGAGGTGTTATATTATTTAAGACAATGGTTAATTAAACATATATAGACTGTTTTTTTCAAGTCTTCTTAGTTAATGATTAAAATTTCACTCTATTGCAGACACCAAATTCTCTTGCCAATATTTTTAGCATAGAATATGCTTTTACGGTGACCAATTTGCAACACTGCTGAATTCGCTATTGTGTTGTTTGTACTCCGCACATTTCCATAAGATCGAAAATATCAAAAACAAAAAATAATTTTTTTTTTTTCATATTTCAACTTGCTGAATTACTCGCGAAAACTGAAACCTAAAAGTAGTAGTCTGTTTTTACACTTAAAAATAGTTTTTAGATTGTTTCTACACTTACGCATAATACCTATTTTTACATACTTTCTCAAACATATTCTTATTCGGAGTACAGATTTTTCTGGTAAGTACTCATTTTCTTCTTAATGTCTAGCATAAAACCTTCCTCAGTACTCGTTAACATATTTTTACTGAGATAATAGAAAATATATAACACTAATAACACTAGTGCACCTATATTTCTAGTGTTATGTTTTTGGATAAAATGTAAACTTTAAAAGTTACTAGGTACTTTTTAATATTATTTATTCGAAATCTTTACGCGTCATTTAAATAATAAAACTGTGTCAGAATTATAAACAATACATTTCGACTAGCTCCAAGCTCCAATCTCCAAATTTGATTCACAAGTATAATATTATATTTTGTATACATTTTTTTTTTTCAATGAATAACTCGTTGTCAAGGTTGTATCATCAACTCGGCAGACGAATCTCATTAAAACCGATAAAACATAATATTTATAGTCACTAAACCGCTATAAATTCGACCTGAGTATTTTTTATTTTTATTGCGTTGCGGATGAATGGAATCACAAGATCAATCAGCGTGTACGACTTTCAAAGAAAGCCGAGAATACAAAAAAAAAATAGGCTATTGCTTCTTCATAATTATTTTTCTACCGATTTTTAGTATAGATTAATGGTTATTACAGCTTTATAAGAATTCCTTTAATTCTTAATACACCATATTATGTGTCCAAACAGTGAGAATAAGAAAAAAATAATAATTCCGTTTTAAGCTTAAGCTTGTCCGTTTGGATAACTCGACATACGGCAATACGTTTAGTTTAACTTGCAGTTTTATTTATGTCTAAGTTATTTGATGAATAGTTGCATTAAACACAGCTTGACTGAACAAATTATGGCAAATTGTTAAAGTATTATTATTCTTATGTAGTCACAACGACCAGAAACGTCTATAGAAGGATAGACGGATATTATAGTTTTTTTTTATTTTTTAAGGGTGTGAACAATAACATCTCAAAATAATTCTTACTTGGTTTTTAAGCGTGCGTGTAAAAAAACAAATATAGGTACGTAGACAGTAAAAAAATCACCCGTTTATTATTTACTCGACCAGAGTTGCACGTTAATATGTCGCAATCGCATTTTAAAAACTCAAGTCCTATGGTGTACAATACACAAGCCTTTGGTAATAAACAGTATATTTATTGGTCTACCGGATGTAAACAAAAAGCATCCGTTTAAGACTACATCCATTCATGGCAAAATTCTGAAGATTAACGATTGGCGCACTTTTAATGAGGCGTGCAAAAACATGGCTACACTGAATACGTTTTACACTTATTTATAAACGATATAATTTTATTTGTTTATAATCTGCGTTATTTCGTTATTAACTGGACTGCGGACGTATAATTTAAGAACTTGATTTAATTACGTTTTTTTTGTGTTTCCTTAAAATATTTTCAAAACGTTTTTTTTAAAGAAAGTTCAATATTACAATATAAATGTTTTCAGACATAGCTGAACAATTAGGAGGATCTATCGAAAATGACATTTATGGATCCGGACACAAGTTCAGTTCACGGACCAACGTTTCTAAAGTAGTCCAAGGTAGTACATGGGTGACCTGGGTGTATAGCAAATTATGTATATCTGTTTTAAGCAGCATCTATAACAATTGTCTGTACTTTTTTAGATTTCCAGAAAATATTTCCAAAGGCGAAGGATGTGATCGTGCAAGCCGAACTAGTGAGAGACGAATTGATCACTTATAACAGACAAGTGATCGAACTTAACGCTGAACTTCAGGTAGTGCCTGAAAGATGTTCTCTCGACGTGTCAGTTATGTGCGATATGATCTCCAAGAACAGACTGCAAGCCGAGAACTTAACTTACTTGGTAAGGACAAAGATTTTTAATATATCAGTACCACATATAATATAACCGTTTCGTTGCCAGGATGATTTGATTAAAGCGGTCAAAGGAGTTTTAGAAGTAGAAAACGACGGGTTGTCCAGTCTTCCTTTGTCGTCAGCCGAGAACGCCAACATCCCAAAGGCGGTGTACGACCAGACAGAAAGAGAAAGATGGCGTAAGTACGCGAGTAAATTAAAAACGTTTAATAGTATTCAAGAGGAGACAAATACAGGGTCTGTTAACTGTGAATATACACATATAATGTCATATCATATATGTGTATGTTTAAAAGTTCAAAAAAACGTTACCCTGAACTGAACGTACAAAAATGACTCGTTTATCGAACGTTTACACAGATACCTTAAATATTATAGCATTACTCTTCGCACGTGGCTCTTTTCAACAGGAATAAAACAGTCACTGATGGATCGTCGACGTCAACTGGAGTTCTCGATCTATCCTTACGAGAGTCACACTCGTAAACTCGTTTCGAAACTAATGGACATGAAAGAGCAGGCGAACAATTATATGGGTCAGTTGAAGCAAATGGAGTCGTACAGGTGGTCCGTCGGTTTAGGTAAGTCAACACATTAACTTTGGAACAATATGTCAAAACCAGAGATGGCTTAAATTGTCTACGGTTCACCTAGAGAACAACTTTTGGTTATTTTGATCATTTTCGGATCCATCTATGTTGTTGTCATTAGTTAGCTGACGTTTCGAACATATATATAATACATTTATTTTTATGTCCCCAGTTGCAACTGTTTTTTCGACTAAGTGGTCTCGTGATGGATCATGTGACTCTCTTTGTTTTCTTTTTTTCACCATTTATGTCTGCGTCTATTTTAACATTTTTTTTCTTGGTTGTGAAAAAGAAATCTTATGTAATACCCTCTAAAGGCTCTAAAAACAAGTTCGATTAATAATTCTCAGGTAATAAATGCAGTTTGAGCGAATCAAACATTTTATTTTTAAAAGGAAATCACTCAGGATCTTTGATTTTTAAGATAGATACCATTGGGTTTAAAGCGTTTAACGAGTTCCACGGTCTATATTTGCTCATAGGCTGAGGTTCAAATAATTACTTTATTATATTATTGCGTTCCAGGAATAGCAATAACTGCTCTCGTGGTGTGGCTTTTGTTGGCCTGTAGCATCGTGGTCAACTATTGTTCGGACGCGGTTTGGGCGAAGTGTTACTTTTTCGGGTAATGTCAAACAATATTGAAAAAATATAATCGACTGACGAATTGTTTTCCTCCTGATCTAGTTGTGTGAGCGCTATGAGGCTAACGAGTCTGGTGTTGTGGTTGGCCGCGCTCGTAGGTTTAATAGTGAGCAGTAATGGTGAAGCCAACGTTTGCCGGGCCTTGTACGACGAACCTTCGTACGAGACGGTTTCCAAAATCATGGACTACCCGGCTTTAACGAACGAGCACGGTTTCTTTTCTTGGTTTGTTTTCGGCAACGACACGCCCACGGCTTCGTTCGGCGAAGTTATAGAGTAAGTATACCGGATTTGAGTCGATCGATATAGCTGCTTTGTTGCAAGTATATAACCTGTAAATGTGTTAGTATACTACTAAACCATTCGGCGGTGATTAATTTTTATTATAATTATCGTTCTATCGTAGGGCGTGCAAAGCCAATCGAACGGCGTACTCGACCTTTAGCCTGAACAAAGTGTACAACACCGAGGCAGGTTCGGACTATACGAAATGGCCGGGTCTGATGGACGGCCTCGAGAGTCTGAAAATGAAAAAAATTCGTGTTAATTTGGACGGAGACAAACCCGTGTCGACGGCCGATGCATTAAAACCGATCGCAGAGTCTATCAACTTGGATTTTCAAATGTTTCGAAGTCAGGTAAACAAAAAGAAAGAACTTAAGAAACCGTTAACAAGTATAGCATGGTGGATCCAATGTTGTTTTGACGTGTTTACATAGAAATTGTAATGTAAATTTGTCAAATAAAAATGAGACCACCTCTAATAAACATAATTGTTTTGAAATAATGTAAATAACAATAGTATAAGTTTGAAGTCTCAGTGATGCAATAAAACGATAGGATTTAAAAGGTTACAATCCTATACAAATTATTTAAAGTATATGGTCTTAATCGTCAAGTGAGCGGCCAATAACTTTGGAAAAATAAATTCTGTCATACTACGGACAATGTATGCAACAACTATTGTCTATAATTTGTTTCCTTCCCAGGCGGACTTAGCCGTAGTTTCTTATTTAAAAATTTGGATTACGTAATATACTTTGAAAACTGATTGCGCACCTTAATTTTACAAAAGCCAATCTCATACTTAGTAACTTATGATTAAGAGGACGGCATACCCTTTAAAAATAATCGTTAAAACGTGTTTATGGAAAAGTGTGTGGGTCAAAGCAAAATGGTCATAGAAAACAAATTTTGATACCGTTAAAAAGAGAAGAACTTAACTAGGTTCTGTCGTTTTTTTTTTTAGAAAATTTAAATTTTACCTAAAATACAAGCTCTTAAAAAAGTAAATGAATGTTAGAATTAAAATATAAATTGTGAATGTTGGGTTAATAATATAAAAAAGAAAGCCGACGAGAAAACCTAGATAAAGTTCTCATTATTTTAAATAGTAAAAAAAAATGTTCTAGGATTGTTACTTAGTCGATAGTTGAGAATATGCGTATAGCACTGTTTGGATGACATTTTTTTTTAATATTGTCAAAGATGCTGTGATAGTCTGAAAAATAATTTAACTACCAAAAAAGAGTCCTATTGTTATTATTTATAACAGAACTAATAATTACACATCACAGTTTAACCTTTAAGTTAAGATTTTGTAAAAAATTGCCTATAATTTATTTCTTAAAAAGGGTGGGGTTGGCGTGTCCTCTTAAGGTTCTAGTTTAAAAATAATGTACGCGGTATTTGATAAATTTAATTAAAAGGGTTATATAATTATGAAAATTATGCATAACTCCTTTATAAATTATGGTTTTTTATGATAACTAAGATTTTTAACACGACCTTATAAACTATTTGACATTTATTATATAGTTATACTTCATCTTTAAAATTTAAAAAGCTATATTATCAAAATAATTTTTATCACAACTCCAACAAGTTTTCAGCACCCCATAAAATATTTTGAGGCGTTTCAGCAGGGTTTGGTTCTCTATCTGTCCACTTAACGTCTATAGGCGTTTTGGAAAAAATAAGGAACACAAGTTTTCGAGTTTATATTTTTTTACAACGATTCGTTTTATTTATTTTGTTTGTGTTTTATGCAGATTTTAGCTTCGTCTTTAGCTCACGGCAGAGTGACGTTGCTCCGTGATCAGCTGAACGCACTTCTAACGCAAACGACAACGTTTTCCAACGTATTTAAAACGACACTCAAACGGGTGGTGGGGAACATCTCGGACTTGGTGGACACAGTGATGAACCCTATGGGGCAAAACAAAGTTAGATCCCGATCGTTGATGGCACCACTCGAATCTGGTTATTTAATGTAAACTAATTTAACGTTTCAGAACGTGTTACTGTACCGGATAACGCTGATGGAGGTCGAAATGCAACCGCTGTCGGAATCGTTGAACCGGACGTGGGCAAAAGCGTACACGAGAATTGAACACACGGACTTTGATGAGATCCTGCGAAAGGTAACCGCAATGCTCTAATCGTTTATAATATATAGTATGTAGTATCGCTATTGACAACACACAGACGAGCCGTTTCCATTAACACTTTATTTGATGTAAAAACAATGGTACTCCTGGGAAAAATTGAAAAAACTCTGTTAAGCAAATTAACACTGAGAACTTTACGAAACATAAAAACTTCAAGGCGTATTCGCGAACAGTTAAAAAAAAATAAGTTTGGCGCTTTTAGACTCAAGAATGCCTCTAGATATTATAAAAGAAATGTCAGCAAAAAGTAATTAAAAGCATTTACATTCGTTTGATTTATCGTAGCATACCATTTCGGTACTAAATGTTTGAGACCCCAATCTGAGCCGGCGGAGGTGAGCATGCCCCAACAATTTTGAGTATCATTGATACTTTGAAGCCATAGGAATAAATAAACAAACAAATTGATCAGTATCATGTTTTAATTTGTATTGATACACGTTTCAATGTTTGACACAAAATGTTAAATTTTCTTTACGAAAAATATTTAAATGCGATTACATTTTTAGCAAGAATCTGGACCAATTTCCCGACAAAAATCAGATTTTACTCCTTAACTAAAAAAAAATGTTTTTCCAAAACCAAATATGTTTTCCAGAATCGGACAACAAATTGTTTTTAATTGAGTCATTTTTTTCTAGAACAAATCATTCATCCGCAGTCTTGATTTCTAGCCTTTAAATTAGCGCTCATGGTCAAGAAGTTGAAAGTTCAGTATAAACAAAACCTACGTTACATTCCTAACTTATAATCGATCGATTGTCAAATTAATAAATTAAAGTCAACTCTTTTATCACTAATGCTAATCAGCAGTCGCTTATCATTTATCAGTAGTTCTTTATCACTTATATTAATGACATGAAAGCGTTACACTTTTTCGTGCCTGAAAATTTACTTAGGTACCTACCTAATGTGATTTATGGATGAATCGCGGGCTAGAAAAACATCATGTTAAAATGGATCCATTTCCATCTGTGTTACAACCATGGTTTAAAACCACGGTATATTTTAAATCGTAGCTAGAATTCAATAGTTATTAACCGTTTAATTATTTAACCAGAACATGGTCCAGTACGTGAATAGCATTAAGTCGCTGTTTGACAAATACAAGTCACACGTGACGGAGTCTATCAAAACGGAAGCAGCATCGTGTAGACCAGTATGGAACGTGTACAGGATTGGAAGGGATTTGATTTGCCGACAGGCCTTTGACTCTCTCGTACGTTTCTGTATTATGATGTGGTCTTATAACAGTATATAAGTTTAATTGAATTTTTGCTCCTGTGTTTTTTTCCAGAACGGATTTTGGGTGATATGTTTCGTCATTGCCATCTCGATCACGGCCGCCATACCGGTGGTGAAGAATCTGAACATTTTCCATAAATCCCCTTTGTCGTCTATGTCGCTTTACACCATACCACCGCCGCCTTCGATGGATCTCATGTGTACAAATAGCTAGTGCGCAAATAGATAGTGATTAGTGGATGACACTTAGAAAAACATTTTATTAAATATACTGATGACAACTGTGTATAGTAATAATACAATACTCGGAGCTATACATTTATTTATTTAGATACTCGACTTGATTATGTTTCTGATTTTCCACTAGCACTTGGAAACGGGAAACTTTATTACAACTGTAATTGTATTTTAAGTATTTTTAATTGCTTTCGGAAAGACTAAATAGTTTATATTATCTTAAAATTTTTTTCTTACGATAATAATATGCAAGTTAATAGTAGGAGAGTTTAATTTTGATTTATCAAAACGTGAATCTTTTTATTTATAACAATAATTGAATTTAGTGAGAGGAAGTAGGAGTCAATCCTAATCATATTATTCCATAATAACTCGGCTAATTCAAATATTATTCACAGCACCAAAAATGATAATACTTACATATTAAGGTATTTTACTAGGGTTTGGCGGATTTATTTATTTATATTAATTATTGTTGCAAATTTGTCGCAAATCGTCGTGTCCCACCCTGTAGTTTGGCCTTAAAAATCAAACGTGAATCATATTTGTGAGCTTTCAACGCGACATAGGTTTATTATGTTGCCAAATATCTACAACCCACTATGCTCGTTGGTATTGAAAATGCGAACATATAATATAAGTATATACACACAAACACACAGTTGATCAGTTATACTGATAAATGGTACGTTTGGACTGCATAAAAATAGTGTCGAATATGCGTTGAACAGAATACAGCCAAACACATGTATATAATTTTAGTTCTTCACACGGAAAAAATACGAGTTTCCCTTTTTCGAATCAACGTTAGTATAGTACATTAGCTTTATACCGTCGTCAATTTAAAGCGATTTGGCTTTGCTGCTCAGAAAACGACCGGATTGTCTGATAACAATCCCATAAGTTTCCTAATTCATCCAAACTCTAAGACTCTACTTGCATAATCTATCCCTTCTATACCTTAAGTGGTAACGGATAATAATAATTATACTTAGACTTGTGTTCCAAATTATAATATTTTGGTCAAAGACCTTATTACATTTCGCCCTGGTCTTTGGCCGATCTGATAAACAGCTGGCTTGTTTTGTTTGCATAGGCGCAATTTAAATTTTAAAAATGAGGGTGCTAATACTCTCTAAGCCCCCCAATTGTGCCTATGTTGGTTTGACACGTCAAAGGTGGTGTTAGTATTATTCTTTTATGTTGTCGTGATGATCATTTATATATTTTATGCTTTTAATTAAATGAAAAGTTTTGGGATATTCTTGAGGAAAACGGGGAGGGGCGTTGCAAAAATCCACCCTCTAAGATTGAAATAAAATGTCCACATTCGCTGAAAATCTTTTAAAAATAAAAGACTACTCGAAGCCGTTATTATTTAAAACAAATTATATTTTATCAAGTCAATGAATGATCAGTGTTGTTATTCTTCGGTTTTTATATTATAGCTAAAACAATTTCTGCAAAGTTCAAGGTTGAACAAACTAATTAGGTATTATTATTAGTTGTTTTACTAAAAGGGTTCCATTAAACATAATTGGTTTTTTTAAATAACCAACCATGTTTCTATTCGTTTATATTTTTTTAAAATTGTTTTTATACTTTTTAGCATTATTGTTTTATTTATTTGAACTTTTAGGCGTGCTTTATTCATCGATTTTTAAACATAATTATACAATCAATTTATGTCAAAAAAATTAAACGATAAATGCATTAAAATTTAAAATGTATAATTAATATTTGAAATATTTAAAGTCAATAGATAATATTGTATGTTGTGTGTGTCAGTGTGTGTAACATCAAATATTCAATTTAATGCTGTATTTCAATTGGTTATTGTGATTGTATAACTTATTATTTTATTTCCACGACTATCTTAAACTTATCAATTTAATAAAAAAAAAATTATATTTGAATGTAGGTCATATATGTTTGGTAATTTTCAAAATTAATCTATTTATTGGAATTTGGTGTACAACTAAATTTAAATTATCTTTTCGTTTACTTTAAATTGTTTTTCTAAATTTCAAGATTTTCAGGTAATATAATTATTGTAGCGCTTTACGCTGGTTCATAGTAATTTAATTTTAAATTAAATTATATATTCTCTTTAATTAAGCTTATAATGCGTTTGTATAGTTCAAGATAACCTTTGTGGCATGTGGTTGTATTTTAATACACATTTAATCATCACATAAATATAAATGATGATAGTTGGTATTTAATAAAGTTTTTTTAAAACAACTTTTGGTTTTAATATTATAACAGTAGTTTTTGTTTATTGAGGTTAAACTAATAACTTAACACTCAAAACACTATAAAACAACGATAAATATATGTTAATTTCATTTGTTACCCCATTTATTGATAAACTTGCTTACAACATGAATATTAGTAGATTTCTTTTAATTTATGTTACTATGTATTATTATAAGATCAACGGAAGTGCAATCGAATATCTTCTTACAGTAAGTTCGTCAAGATTGAACTTGCCTTATGTGCACTTTTCCAAAGCTTTTAGCGATGGTTTTGGATGAGGACTTCTACGAAGCACGTCGTGTACTTAAAAACTATTCAAATCAACTGATAACGTTTATACAAATCAATAGGACGATAAAATCGTAAAAGACGATAATGATAATCATAAAATCATTGTATTATGTTAGGCCTTGTAAACAAAATAAAAATGCTCCTTATAACTTTTCTGGCTGCTGGTGGGGTTGTTTTGTAACTTTCAAAACAACGAGTTTGTTTAATACACTAAACGAATAAACTTTTTTCGACGAATAATCGTTTTGTAAAACCAACTATATAAATATTTTATTATTTAAATTTGTTTGTTTTGTGTTTGTAGCACTGCAGCTACTTCAACTGTATTTACAGTATCAAATACAACTTGACACATCCTGTATGCGGTTTTACTAGATTGTTTTTTATTCCCTCCAAACTGGGCAGGGAGATTTCCGACAATCGATGATGCACTTATACCATTAGCTATCGTGTACTTTGTTAGGTTTCCGCATTGTGACACTTTTATGATCCTTATTTATTAATTTCGATTAGAGAATATTGGTAGTAGGTATCTCTTCTTACCGTACTATGTCGAACAGCGACTGTGTACAATACATATTCATCCCGTTGTTCAACATAGTGTGATAGATATTAACGACAGCGATTTCTGCTGTCCAAATCTCCAAAATGTATTGTATTGTAAATGGTATTATGGAATTTTACCGAAGTATAGGTATACACCGCATTGTTAGGCGATGCTGATAGCCATCGTCAGAGGCTTAGAGTTAGTACGAAATAACGCACATTGTAATAACGAGACAAGTATACGTTTAAAGTTGCAGGATGTGAACTCTATTTTGTTTCATTAATTTTTAATAGCCACGGCCGTAAGGGAAGTTCATAGAAATAGAGTGAATGTTGCATGCACCTCATTGCGTTTTATCGCTCTTTCTTACGCACCTGCAAAGTAATCCTGAATCGAGGAATAGAGATTAGAGTAGAGGGATTTCGTGTTAGAGGTTGATAAAAGAAAATACAAAGATCTGACCGGCTAGCTGAGTATGAAGAGACACGAAGTCTAGAACAACCGAACTCTGAATAAAACTGACAAGAGCATAATAATATCACTAAGTCGGATTTAGGGTCTAATATTTAGAACCATTGGCTAAGACAAATATTACTAGTAAAGAATGGTCATTTAGGATGTTAAAATCGGGAGGTGTCACCTCAGTGGACACCTCAGATGCCGCGTGGCAATTGAGGTTAAGCTGTGTCCGTTGCTGCTTGATCTCGGATAGGTGACCACCCGGGATTTTTAGCGGCGACCCATACTATCAACCCCGAATGCATGGCTGAAATGCCTGCACCCGACGACCGAATTGGCATAAAGTTAGCCATAGCCAATCCCGGTCAAGACGTCATACGCATTTATTTATTTATTTTATTATTTAAGATGTTAACTATAAATGTTGGGTAGATTATCTTTCAAACCGAGTTCACATTAGTGTTAATTTGTATTTTTATCTTCGACTCGAAACTGAGATTTCCAACGATTTAGCGGTTTGTGTCTTTTCTTTAATTTTGTCAACTCTTGCTTTAAACACAAAACTTTTGAATTGGAAAAGTAATATAACTTTGTTGTATTGTATTGTATAGGCAAAGCAAAAGAAGTTTAGGTAAGTTTTACATTTGATTGAAATACGGTCTAATAAGATTATACACCGTTGCGGGTTGCCATTGATTTTAGAAAACATATTAAATTAAGAACTTTTACTACAGAATTTTACAGTAAAAACTTACTAAAACGAAACCAGGGGATAACATTCTTAGTATAAACTTCTCTCCAATTTCAAATATCGTGCTTACACTGAAAACTTAATGCACAAAAAACCTAGGTAGCAAAGTTTAACATAGTGGGGTCGAGCACAGCTGTTATAAAATCTAATCTCTGACGTTTCCATGCAAATTCCTGAATAGTGTAAAAATGTGGTTTTGGTAAACTTAGTAAAACGATGACTACAAATGTCTTAAATATAATATATTTATATAACATGCAATAGCCAAGACAAACCTATTTTCGGTGTAATTTTTAGCTCTCAAGTTCTGAAATGCACCTACAAAATAAAAAAAAACTGTTCCACGTTTTTTGAAACCAAAACTCAATTGTTATTTAAAATTTTTTTTTAATTTCAGTAGTATAATAACTCAACAGTACATTTATGTTAGAATTTTAAAAATGTTGTTTTAAGACAAATTTTAGGTAACGTAGCTTAACTATTAATAGTAGTTATTCGTGTTTTTTTTTTCATGGAACCCGAACTATATTTATATACATATTATTGTTTTAAAAATTTAAGGTTTAAATTATTTAAAAACTACTATTTTTTCGTCCTCTATTTACGCTACATAAAATCGTGTGTATGTTGAATAACACTTCTAGGGTTAAATAACTATTTCTAATTAATTATTACCATAATAGTATAACACCTATTTTACCAATTTGTACTTTAATTTAAGTCATACATATTCAAAATATATAATTATATTAAACATTTGAAATATATGTTATAAATAGTATATGTTTTTTTTAGTATATTATTTTTTTTTTTTTTAATTTTATTAAAATGTACGAAGAAAGTTGAAATCAAAAGTTGATTTTATTTAAAGGCAAAACGATAAAATGAAGAGCACAGTTTTTAAAAAAAATATTTATCATTTGTTATTATTCAAATAAATATTGCTCTCTTTTTATCTTGCATCATGGCTACAAAAAATGAACCCTTGCACCGGTAACACGTAATGATAGCAGCTAAAATAATAAACAAATTATGAATTACACTATTCTCTTGCGGATCATCAATAGTGGGGAGAAAATCAGTCCGACAGTATGACACTATGACCCGTGAGTAAGGTAACCGATAAGAACAATAGCGATAATATAATAATATAGATATGATTGTGATGTTGTTGGATGCCGAATGGCCCACGTGTGTCGCTCGCTCATTATGTATGACGTGACCCCGGCCTGTCTCGACCTTTTGTTGCGTTAGCGGCTGCGAATGAACCCCACTTGCGCAGGACAGTTGTTTACCGGCGTATCATGGATAACGGACGTGCCGCCACTTTGGCCACCACAATAATTGTGACCATACTGGCCGTGTTCGCCATTTCCGCGGCCAGCGTCAAGCGCAGCGACCCGCAATGCCCGGACGACGGGTGCACCGCGGTTCAGTGTCCCCGCGGACAAGAGGCCTGTCTACTGGGCCTGGTACCGGATGGTTGCGAATGTTGCCCGTACGGCGTGTGCGGTTTGGGAGAGGGCCTAGAATGTGGTACCAGCAAACCTTGTGCCAACAACTTGGAATGTACAAAAATGGTAAGAAACTACCACGAGGGGAGAGAAGGGGGACGTTGGGTAAGAGTGGCACATTCAGGATAATTTCGTTTAATTCACTGTTTAGTCAAGGGATACACAAATCATATCCAAGTATCGATAAGTCTCAATTATACTAGAACTTAGCAATTATCCAAATTATTAATAGCTGATAAATGATAATATTGTAACCTATGCAAGTGCGTTATAAATATATCAAGAAATTGTAAAAAGTATCAATATTCACCTGGATTAAAATATATATGTACAACTACAAAATTATTTTTAAAACTTGTATTATTAGGAGGTCGCTGCACTTACAATTAATTCTTTAATTTCAAATTATTTAAAAAAAAACAAAAGTGTGCAGATCTGATTTCATAAATTTTTTGAGTGATTTAATGTTATTATTAAGTAAAAAAGTTATTGTGTTATTTAAAAAAAATCTGACATATAGCTTCTTGACCTAAACTATTAGAATATCCTTTTAGTCGATCAATAATCCCCAACGAATTGTTAACAACGGCTCTACCAACAGCTCTGATAATGTATTCTTTCGATTTTATAACAGGTGTTTTGATATAAATTAATAGATTTTAACGTATGAGTTGCTCATATTATTAGTGATTTACTAAATATTTTTGAACATTAGTGGTTTGTGCAATTCGACATTAAAAAAAAAGTATTTTTGCTTTTAAAATTATTTTATATTTTTGTTTTTGAACGTCAAAGATATTTAGGTCGTCGTACGAGGATATTGACCTATCACATTCATCGGCTAGTTGATATACTAAGCAAACTTTGATCGTAATGCGTTAACAGCTACGGCTTGTGTAGTGTGTAAGCTATCTGGGTTTTTTTTTATTTGTTTACAAACTGTATAACAATTGCTACTATTTTAGACTAATGCTAATTAGTTTTTTTCATTGTTTTTATTCTTCAAGGAAGATTCCAAGACTGTTTACCAGTGCGTTTGCAAAGAAAACGAAATGGTATGTGGGTCGGACAACACTACATACACTAATGTTTGTCAACTGAACGAAGCGTCCGCCAAGCAGGGCTATAACGGCTCGCTGTGGATGCAGTACTGGGGACCATGCCATAAGGGTAACACAAAAAAAAATCAATAAATTATGAAAACAAATTAATGATATAGAAATGCAAACTTAGTTCTATTTAGAGTTGTCCATACTTATATAAACACGATAACTTTTTTTCCTCTGGACTAGAGCAACTCTATAGATCTGAAACCGTATGCGATTAGTTCTTTAGTGGGTCAAAAGTGAAAAAAGTTTCAACTTGGACGTCTTATAACTTGGTAAAAAACGAAAACCTATGTCACAATGTCTTAAATCCTAATATATAATTAAAATCTAAAAAAAATACGCGTTTAAAAATATTTTAGCTTCGATGCGAAGCTAAGAAGGTATTAATTTTTAAATGAGACGTGTGTTTTTTTTTGGTCTTTGAACGTTTGAATTTGCTTGCATGATAATACCATATTATGTTACAAGTATTATAACGAAAAAAATTATGTATAAAATCCAATAAAAAAACTGAAAAAAATAATTTTTTACCTACGTATGTCTTGTAATTTAATAACCATATTTTTTTATTATTGTGTTCTATTTTCCGATCCCTTAATGTATTAATTTAATTTGTTTACATTTTTTAATGACCACAAAAATTGTTTATATGGGTATATTGAAATTAGAAATATCTTGTCGTTCATTGTGTTGCGTCGCCTTATTTAATTAAATATTAAAGTTCTGATTTTTGTGTAAACAATTAATATGCAGTTCACTGTTCTTGTATATTAACCTACAAGTTCCAAAGCGAACAATCGATAAAAAAAAATTGACAATAAGTTTAAAAAAAATATATTTTCTACCTTTTATAGTACAAGATTTTTATTTAATTAGGTCTTATATATACATATAACATGTGTAAAAAAAACAGTAGTGAGGTCGGGCAATATAATTGGGCATATAATTGGGATAGAGTATATTTGGGCGGCAGAGGTCACAAGTCTATATGAAGTATTACAACTGCAAGTGATAAAATCATTTTCAAATATACGCTCTATGCGAATCTGTGGATAGCAAGTGTAAACCAGTACAGTCCAAACCAAATACAGTATAAACCAGCACAGTAAGAAAGTATTAAAGTGAGCTGCAGTTTCTCATCGAAACGTTTATTTGAAAATTATTTTATCACTTTCAGTTATAGTAATTCTTAAAGACTTGTAAACTCTCCGTCCTCACTATGCCCCGACCCCACTGTGTTGGTTATTTTTTTATATTCTAGAATCATAAAAATCACATGTTTTTTTTCATATTAGCTTATTGCTTAGTTTAAAAGGTATAAACGTTTTAAAGTAAAATATTCAGTTGTATAGTTTTTTTACCCATAAGTATATACAATGTAGTATTACAAAAATTTAATCAAATTATTTATCCACACCGAGGCGAGGTATGAAAAATACATATTATTTGTACATTCATATCGAATGTAATATGCGTCATAGCGACTCATCTTTTCATGTTTCAAATAGACATTTGGATTCTTTCAATTTGAGTTAAACCTTCTATTTACACAAAAGCTAACGATAAATTTTATTACATTATAATATAAAGTGTTTTTCACAATTTTTATATAGTTATATTAAATTGTTTTTTTTTACCAAAAACACATTTTCTATAATAACAGTTGCAGTGTTAAGAAAAATTAAACACACCTGTAGCCTACAGGTATCGTATATTTTTATGTTTTAACATATTTAACTTCTTTTTCAAGATATCTTCATTGCTTTATTGCATTATTTACGAGTTCTATGGTGAGTAAGCGATAAATATACAAACAATACCAGATGAAATTTTATGGTTTGTTGTTTATTGAAAACAAGTGTTTTTAGCATGGAATATGCTTTAGCCTTGGCCTCCCAGCTCGAAAACGACACAAAATAGCGTGAGCGGCTCTACATCTGTTAAGATTAATTTGAATGCACCGGATCATTTTGATGTGGTCGGTCCCTGTGCCTCTTGCCTCAGCACCTCTACTCATATATTATGCCACACGACTGAAATGGGCGTAGCAGTCTTCATTACGTCTCTGATGCGGCGCTCATATACACTGTGTAACATATAACATATAAGATGCCATCGAAATAATAACGAGTCGTCGTCATGCAAACGTTTTGGACAGAACATATAACTAAGGCTATACTATCGTCATAAATCGCAAGGAGATTATAGATCAGAAAAAATCACTATTCAGGAGCCAACAGGCTAAAGCGTGTTCCATGTTTTTATAATTTTAGCCGTTGGCTTTAGATAGACTGTAACTTTTTTTTTTTACGTATTTTGTTTTGTCGTTTGTGGGGTACTGGTTTAAATGTTTACAAATTTGTCTAATGTACATTAAATATAATAGGTACTTATAGAGTTGTGTTTTTACAGCTCCAACTTTCAAATCGATTCCAAAAAACGTGGCCGGCACTATAGGTCAACCGGTAGTGTTCGATTGTGAAATCAAAGGGTTTCCCGTGCCCAGCGTCAGCTGGCAATTCAGAGATACGAGTGGAGCTACCAGATCATTGCCAGGTAATGTCCTCTGCAACTTAATTTAACAATTATCAGTTTACTTTTTTATACAGTACTTAACCAAACTGTATTTGCGAACGGGTCCGTGTTTTTAGACCAATTGATTAGGTATAATTGATAGTGGCTTACACTCGAAAGGACGAAGACAACATTGGCGTTTAAGCGCGTATACACGTAAATAGAGCGTGTATATGCACATTGCGACCGTAAAAAAATCGTTATTGTATAAAATAATGTTCGGATGGGCAAAAAAACAGTAATCGCCGTTGAATCGTAAAACCGCGGGAAATAAATTTCCGATGTTTATGCACTTCCAATAACGTACACAGAACGAAACGAATAAACGCGACACTTAAAAATCGCGTTAAACTCCACTTACACCATGCCAACACCAAGAAAAACTTCCCACCCTTACATCCTACCTTGTATATACACCCGTTGACGTCGCAAATTACAATAGCTGGAATATAAAATTTAATCTTTTTGCTCGTTCTACCCTCCACGCAACTCTTTACCGGCTCACGGCCAAATGTTTTTTTTTTCGTTTTACAGTTTACAAATTGCATTGTCTACTATGTAAGATAAACGCGCGCGTACCAGACTCTATAACCGTTTATGAACACTGTGAAAAAGGCACGAAAATAATAAAAAAATTATTGCGTCTTCGCCATATCGGCCACCCCTTACGCCTAAAAATGACTGTAATAGTCTGCGAACTGCTTATTGAAATTGGATTTTGATATAATATACCAGCAGCGCGCGTGTATAGATAAACGTTTTCGAAAAAACGGAAACAAAAATCGACTTCATAAAAATGCTTCGATAATATTTTATTATTGTTGTTATTATTACTGTTATTGTTAGTGCTGCGCTCCTTCATGTTCTGCATAAACGACGCGACGGCGGGTTTAAAAAATATAAAATCAAAAACAAAATTGGCCCGGTACAATTTTACATGATTCTGTATAATTATTTATTATGATACGGGCGTACTTTTGCCTCCTAGACGTCTCACTGTTTTTATTATTTTCACTTACATTTTTTTTTAACTTCGGTGCTCAACTTTGAAGGGGGATGTTTTACAACGATATGTTTTTTTTTTATGTTATTATAATATTAAGGTTTTAAAAACATCGTCTATTAGCCTGATTATGCTTACAAAATTTACTACAAATTGTGATTTAATTGTAAGTGGTTGCAGTTGAAGTTTTCCCGAATTATCTATCGAGTTTTTTATTTGAAAGAATTTCCAGATATGTTCGGAGTTGTCTCGGTTGAAAGCCTGTTCCAGTGAGGTGTACTTATCAGTATAAAGCGAGCTTAGAAGAATTTCGGAAAGTTCATCATGATGTGTTTAGTTGATAGGTTTACTCTGCGTGTATCACATGTAAGTAATAAGTTTGGGTTGCTTAGTAATGAGGTATAAGTGGGTTAGATGCGTGTACCCTATTCTAGTACACGTGATTATTATTTCCTCTTTTTTCGTTTGATATTAGGGCGACACTTCCATTTTTGGACATTGAGTTTGACAGCTTGGAGTTTGTTTGAAAGGTGTGTTAGTTTTTACTTTTTCATTACCTACTTAAGTCATTTCATCACTCGCAGTTATAATAATTTCTACACTATGACTAGTGTGGTCTTGACCGACTATAATGTGTATACGTTTTGAAGGAGGTCGTTTGTTTGTAATGCATACTATTAAGTTTGTTCAGAGCGCTGACGAAGATAACAATGCACTATTGCAGTGTCATTTTTCTGAAAAGGTTTTTTTTTTAAGAAATATTTTCCAACATTTTATTACTTCAATAACATTCTTTGATCAAAACGCAATTATTTCTATGTATGCGTCAGAAAGGTTAAAGACTTGGGGATGAGCTTAGAGGACTTACGTTTTACCGTTAAACCTAGTGTACTATCAAAAAATCCAATATTATTTTGTTAATATAATGGAAGATTTTTGTCCCTTATATTGATATTTTAGGCTACTTACAAGTTATATCTACGGTCAGGAAAAAACTAGTTGGACGTTTAATAAAACCCGTTGGTACACAGTCTGGCAGGACTTTATATGGATATTTTCCATAATATTCTGTATGACTTTTTTTAAAATAAAATAAAATATTTCTTTGCAGGAGACGATACTGCAATAGCGATACAAACTAGAGGCGGACCTGATCGGCTTACCGTGACGTCTTGGGTACAAATTATGTACTTTAAACCGAATCATGCGGGCAATTACTCGTGTACAGGCATCAGCTCGGAAGGCATTGCCATGAGCTCTGCCACGCTGGATATCATGAAGATGGTTTAACGCCGCTAATATAATTTATATATTATTAGTTTATAATATTTGTAAAATTTGTATTGTCACATTCGCTACCTATATTTCTTATACCTCTTCAAGGCTATTTAAGTACATACAAAGACTGACAGCGACCAGTGATTACCTCGATTTCCTTGCTAACTTTATAACCTCATCGTTTCAAAAATTATAGGTAGGATAAATGAAGAAACCAAAGGATATAATAATACATGCACAAAAGTAATAATTCAATTCTTATTGAAAATATTTCTTTATTTACTTCAAAACTATACATTTCTGTACACTCAATCAAGTACAAGTTAAATAAACAATATTTAGGTTCATACATTGTCATTGTCACAATTTGTAAGTATATAAACCTATTTTTAACCATACATAAACTAACATAAATTTATACAGTTAACATATTGACTTATGATAGTCGACCGATAAATGCGAGTCACCTAAAATAGTACAATTAAAAATAAAATTGTTATATTTTCCTATATATCGCACTTTATTCCGTTATGTTTTACTGTGTAAACTGAAACATGTAACTATTAAAAAAACATACTAATAGCAAAACTAAAGATTACTTTAAAGAGTATCTTACAAGTGTATAATTATTAAGAACAGAAACAATATTTTTCGCAACTTAATAATGTTGTTGGTATATAATAAGAAAAAAGATAATACAAAAATATAATCTTCTGTATTTTGATTTATTTTTTATTAATTATTTTGCGTTACACAAAACAAATATGAAACACGTTATTACTACATAAACAAAAGCCATTTTTAATAGTGACATTTGTACTAAGTACTATACCTCGCTGTTTTTCTTTTCTTCTTCCTCGGCTTCTTTCAAAGCCCCCATTCCTTTGTAGAACAGTCCACCCAACAGTGCCACTACGGTAAATCCTTGGGCGGCTATTCGTCCGCGCATCATCATTTGAGATTTCATACGATCTCCTGTGTACATGCTCTTCAACCCGTAACCAAGGAAAAGAACAGTGGCCATCGTACCTGCAAGCAATTTTTTTGTTATATTTTTGTTATAGTCGAAGGAGTGGGTTTCCCGAGTAATACTACTGCGAAAGTCGCGCGTTCTCAATTAAAAAAAACACAAGTATTTAGTACAATAAAATAATTTTGTCCCTTTTTTCCGCTACATAATATTATATAGAATGTATAAAATATAAGATGTATAGAAAACGAAATAGAACTTTCGACCAGCATTTTTTTTGTTGAGAATGTTCGCTGTAGCGTAATCAAGACCATCTAGAAGAGGTTTAAAGTGTAAGCCCTACAGCCAGATTTTACAACGTATAGTAATAATGGTGCCGGCGGGATGGAATGATCTTTAATGGACGTTGTTGTCTTTAAAGTAACCCTTTCCCGAGATTATTCATAGCTATTGCACTGCGGCCATAAGAAAACGTATAATTATATTATGATAAATTCGAAAAGTTATTTTTAATAACCCTTTTATAGAGTTATAGAATATATTAATATATATATATGCGACTGCACATTGTAACAAAAGACATTTTATAGTGAATTGGGTTTTGTTTCTCGAAAATTAATTGTTCATCACCATGGACCATTTAAAAACAACTCAACAGTTTTTTTTTTATTCAAAACTTTATTTTATTGTATCTCACTTTTGTTGAAATTTCACGAACAGTTGTCATAGACAACAGAGTGTTTTAAACTTGAGTAATATTTCGAAATTTGTTTTTTTATTAATAGCCATTAGATTCGAATAGATTTATTAAACAAGTTTAGTATAGATACATCTATTTCTATTTTAATTGTAAAGCAATGCAATTTTTTTACAGAAAAAAATAACAATTTTAATGATTTATTAAGTTAGGTATGAAAAAAATATATTAAAAGCTTAAATGTGGTAATAAAAGAAAAAAAAAAGTGAGGGATAAGTAAAAATTAAGATTTTGGGTTTTAGTGTTAAATTCTTCAAGCAAGGCATATTCTGTTTCGACAAAACACAATTAGTTGAAGAGTTATTACGCTTTACTATGGACGAATGGTAAGGTGTAATGCTAAATCATATTCTCATATTCGCATAGCCTAATGAAAGTACAAAAGGATCAACAGACCTGAGCCCAATGCCATAGTTAAAAATTCAAAGCATTGACTTTCATATTTTATTTTTATAATATTACAATATTTAAAATTATAGCCTATTTTTTGATACTGAGCTATACTATAGGGAATTTTACACCACACCAGAGGGCCATTGGCCTCACCTTGTGGGATTTTGATGACCTATACATATTTTGGTTTATTTTGACCTAAAATAAGACCCCTAAATTATGTACCAAAGGGTCTACTGGTCATCAGAACCCCACGGGTTAAGGCTGAAGGCTCTGGACGAGGTTTTAAAAATTAAAGCTTTTAACAGGACCAACGTCTTTCAGCTTTCAACATGTCATTTTGTATATTAAAGTTTTATGTACAAATTATACACACCATTCTTTCTTTTCAATTTTGATTATCGTGAAATATAGACAGTTTTTACTATTACACTTGAGTGATTAACTTGTCTTACAAAATTTAATTAAATAATAATTAACGATAACTATAATAAAGATCATATTTTTTTTTAGATTATTAACTGCAAGATAGATTTTATAATTATGTGTTTATGAAGTTATTAATTAAAATAGTATATATATATATATATATATGTAAATTTGTATTTTATTAAAGATTTATTATTTTTAGTTTAGTAATAGCAGCTAATATAAGTTTTTTTAGAATATAAAATGTTCGACATATTTCCCAAATGAAAGAATACTATCCATGTGAAACAAATATAATACTTTATTATCTTATAGTTAACTGAATTCTGAATATATTAGCTGTTAGTACTAAACTATTACTGCTAAACTAAAAATAATAAATCTTCAATAAACTCAAGCTTTTCAATAAACTAAAATATACATATATTTATATACTGTTTTAATTAATAACTTCATAAACACATAATTATAAAATCTATCAGAGCGTATGGGACAAGGTTGTCATTATAAGTACATCACTGACTGATTTGGTAAATTTTTTTAATTGCTGTGCTAAAAGCTATACATTTACATTTACTAATAAATTTGGAGGATTGAAATTGTATGGTACTGATATCAGAAAAGCTAATACCAAATGTTGGGTAATTGATAATAACGATATTTTTTTATCTCTATTCTCTAACAATTTAAAATTTCTGGTCTCTCCGTGTAGAATATTAGTATGAATTACAGATGAAACTATTGTTTTAGATTTGTAATTTTTAGAATTAATCTCAGACTGCAAAGAATACATTAAAACAATAGGTAGTTTTTTTGTTATATTGAAAGTGTGTGCCATAACTATTATTTATTACCATTATTGTTAAACTAAACAGTAAGCACTATCATAGTTATATAACTATTTTAAATAATATAACTTACCAATTGGAACAAAGGGATTTTCTTTAATTTTTCTTACAAATTTGTTAGCGGGTTTTTCTAATGTAGCCTGTTTAATATAATCCGGTGTTTTTCCTTGGGAAGTCTTCAACTTTAACCATTCTAAAGTTTCCAACTCATCAGGTTTATTGTCATTTTTATCAGACATTTTAAAGTAATATACAATTATTTAAAATGAGAAATTATTTATGATACACGTACGGTAGTACAAAATTACAAGTCAAAACGTACGGATTGCATAATATTTGATTATTTCATAATTATGATAGGAGTTAAGACAGATAACAGATAACGCATATCAATTTTTTTCTTATCATCGAACAGCTGCGCATCATAGACCATAAACCTATAAATCTATGTTGCGCTTACACTATAAAGTGATATTACAATTTACAAATTAGTAATAATTATTAATTAAAAAAGGGATTATATTCAAATATTATAAAAAGCGGGCGAAGTTTTATAAAGGCAATGTTTAAGATTTTGACATAGTTTAAATAGATTTCATCTATTCCAATTATTCTTAAATTAACCTAGTGAAAAAACCTAATATCTATATAAAATAGAAATCAGACCATCATATTAAGTAACTTTTTGGTCCAAAACTTAAAAAAAAACCAGATCGCTTTCAATTCCCTTACCATAAATTTAAACAATAAAATTATAACCAAAAATTACTAAAAATGAAAAAAATAAAATTTGCATTTTAGTGTAGTTTAACAAAAATTAATTTTTTTTTGACAATTAATTTATTATTATTTACCAGAGTTATTTATTGATTCTTAAGAATTATTTAATTTAAAATTGTACTCTCAAAAAGTACAACATTCATTTAAATAGTAAATAAATCAGAAAACCATATTCTCCTATAGGAATTTGATTTTTGGTTTTTGTTAATAAATTATTTATTATATATGATAGCTGTAAATTTTGGATAGTGGTTTATTATTAGGCTGCCAAAAATGTGTTAAAAATAAATTAATGTACAAAAAAATGCCTGATAAATTTTATTGAACGCAAATTAATTTAATGTTACAATAATGAATCCATTTTCTTTGACTAGTTTCATATTTCCTGTATTCAAATTAAAAATGGAAGATACTTTAGATTTCGACAGCTGTAAATCTGCTTCTTCGTCAGGACCAAACATTAATATTGTTCCAGTTTCAGATCCATATTTAACATTAACTGTCCTACAAAACCAAAACCAAAATATGTTATTATGATATATCAAATCTGTATTAATGTGATATATTGATAATTCTCAGGTATGGGATAAGTCATGGTCAACAACATATAAAATTTAAAATGTAATGCCATCAGTGGTTTAAAGACAATAACTGAAGTAATTTTGTACTAATTATCAATTACAAATTTTTTCTTACTTGATAATTGGTAATGTACTTATGTTTTGAACTTCTACGTTTTGCGAGGATGACTTTTTCTGAGCAATGATTGAAACATTAGGTAAATTGTTTAACAAATCATTATTTAATATTTTTCCATCAGACAACTTTAATACAATTTCTATACCAAATAAGCCAAACACTTTCTGTACCTATGAAAATTAAAAATTATACTGTTGAACTTTTTTTATAAAACTTACATTTTTAATCACAATTTTTCCCCAGGAAAAGGCTTTGATATAAATTAGATTTAATAATTCAAACTTACTTCATAAGTTAAGCTATCAACATTTAGAACATTTTTACCAACAGGGTTTTCAATCATAACTGTAGTTGAATTTGATGCACCGTATCTAGCATTTATGCCATGAAGTTGCACATTGATAAATCTATAAAATATATATTTTAATCATTATTTTATAAAATACGCAATTTATATGTTACATAATATATAAATTATGTAATGAGTAATGACTTACTTGCATGCTGGCACTTCTTCAGTACTGTTTTCTTTAGTTAAAATGATCTTTAAGTTGGATCCTTTGAGCTAAACAAAATTGTGTTGAATTTAGTTGAATAATATTTTAAATGTTGACATTATATATATTTGATGTATACTCATAGACCATAGTTATAGCTAACTGGTTACCAATAATGTCAATAATATTAATTTTAAAATTATTGCAATAAACTGTATACATTATTAAAATATAATTAGTAAATATTATCTTGTAGCAGTAATAGAAAAATATAGAACTATAATCAGTAATTACTGTTTGAGTTTCTTCTATAATGTTATTTCCAACGGCGACTCCATCAATGAATGGTACTTTTAAAGCTGTAGTTATAAACTCATTGAATTCTTTAGCGACTCTAGCTAGTTCTCCCTCAGGACTTATATTATAATAAACATTAATTCGATCAGTGGGAACCAAATGTGCTTTTTTACGTAATTTTTGAACTCTGTTAATTATTTCACGAGCAGTACCTTCATCCAACATACTCTGGTCTGGCGTAACATTTAGTAATACCAAAATCTAAAAATAAAAATAAAATAAAAAAATATATATATATTTGTATTATTATTTCAGTTTATTGAAAATATAATGATATTAAGATAAAAAAATGTACATCATTGTCTATCTGGGCTTCATATGTTTTAGCCATAATTTCAGCTTCTGGTCCAGTGAAGTTATACAATATTCGAAATTCAGAAGCTTCTAACTCGTACTCCAAAACTTTGAGAGGAGGTTTTTGTTGGTCATCGTTATTATCAGTGCTCATATTAGATACTTCATTTTGCCAAGACTGAAGTTGTTCGTCTGTCAGTTCCTACAAATAGTTTGTAATAAAAATATCTAATAATATTTTGAAAACACATTTCCTTACTCTGATAGCTGCAGTGACTCTTTTGAAATCTGATTTTAATCTAGAACCTAAAGTTTTGTGATCTGGCTCAGCTCTAAGCTTTACATATCTGCTTTTATTTTTTGTCAAATTTATAGCTCTGACATTTAATTCTTTTTCAATATAACTTCGGAACTCATTTATGTTGTCAATGATTTTCGGATCATCAGCAACAATCATAAGCTCAGGTAAAGGGTACTAGATAAAAATGAGAAACATAATTAGTGTAACTTATTATAATAAAACACACACAAATATATATATATATATATATATATAAATTACTTTGATTGGAATAGTTCGACGATCTCTCATTACTCTGCCCATTTCAATTATATTTTGCATAATTGAAACACTTTGTTCTATATTTTTATCAATTAAGTGCTCCCTGAATAAAATAAAATTAGTAGTTTTTAAAATCTTTAAGCATTTATTTATTTATACACACAATATGAAAATATATTTTAAAAAAAAGTGTACACGCTAATTAGGTTGTTATGAAATATTGGATAAAAGAAACCACCCAGCAAACACCTTATGACTTTGTAAGCTTGAAACTAACATTTTGATAATACAAAACTTACTTTACGTTAGGAACCATGTGGAAATGTACACTACGTTCTTTGAGGTTTTCAATTTTTTTCAAATTTTGATACATCAACTCACATATGAATGGTGTATAAGGTGCCATCAAGCAAACCATGGTCATAAGTACATGATACAGTGTATCTAACGACTCTTGTTTATCAGTTGATCCACATTCACCTTTAAATCGTTGACGATTTAAACGAACATACCAATTGGTTAGTACATCAATGAACTTAACTAGTCTAGGAACTACAGTATATAAGCGATAAGCTGCCATTTCTTGTCTGACAAATGCAATCAATGATTGTGTCCAAGACGTTATCCATCGGTCCATTTTATTTTCACTACATGCATTGTAGAAGTCTTTATTTGGTTTATACATAGTACCCTGTATATTTCATTATAGCTATTAGTTTAATATAAGTATATTTATTATAATTTAATAAATATTAAATAAAGGACATATTGTTTTTAAACTTACTGAAGCATCTTGAATATTTTGAATGAAAAATCTATATGCATTGTACCATGGTAAAAACAGATCCTTTAAAATTTCTTTAACTCCTTCTTCTTTAAATCTTAAGTTTTCTGCTCTCACTACTGGAGAATTAATTAAGTACAATCGTAATGCATCAGCTCCAAATTTGTTTACAACCTAAGTGAACATTCAATATAAAAAAAAAAAAAAAAAAATGTAACCACATAGCAAATTTAATCTATTGAATAATAATTGAATTAACATAAAAACAATTAAATTAAATATAGCCCTATGATTATGATACCTCTAATGGATCTGGATAATTCTTTTTACGTTTTGACATTTTTTGACCATCAGATGCCAACACTAAACCGTTGGCAATTAAGTTCTTGAAAGGTGGTTTGTTAAACAATGCTGTTGATATAACTAACAGTGTATAAAACCTAAAAATTATTTAAATTACCGTTACTTAAGAACTAAGGAATGTGAACATTTTGAACACGTGAAATAAATTACCATCCTCTAGTTTGATCTATTCCTTCAGCAATGAAATCTGCTGGGAACCTATCGTGAAATTCTTTTCTATTTTCAAATGGATAATGTTGTTGAGCATAAGGCATGGAACCAGACTCAAACCAACAATCAAATACTTCGTTGATTCGACGTAAGGGTGGATGACCCGGCCTGGCTGAAGGGATTGTTAGTTTATCCACCCTGAAATATAAAATATATTTAATAATAAATGTAGTAGATAACTGTAAAATATTCTAAACAGAAACATGTTTAAAAATTACAATTAAATAATAATATATGTATATATGTTTTTTTCTTACACTTCTCGATGTAAATCTGTTACAAGAACACCAGTCAATTTATGTAATTGTTCAATACTACTAATGCATACAATTTCTTTTCCATCTTCTGATACCCAAAGAGGTATAGGAGTACCCCAGTAACGATTTCTACTGATTGCCCAATCACGAGCATCTTTTAACCAATTTCCAAAACGTTTTTCCTTAACGAAATTTGGTACCCTAATATTGAAAGTATTTTGTGTAATTTTTAAATGTAGTTAAAAAGGCAAAAATTAATTTTAACGCTGGTATGACAAACAGAGCAAAACAAAAAAAGAACCTGTGAATATAAAAATAATAGCTATGGTAAATACAGATAAAGTTTGATAAAGTCTCAAAGGGTCTAACAACGCTAAGAGTTGAAAACTACAGGGAGGTAGCAATGGATAGAGCGAGATGGAAGGAAGTGTGTGTTGCAGCAATGGGCCTGAACGGCCTCTGAAGTTGGAAAAAAAAAAGGTAAATAACAAAAATGTTCATTAAAATATAATCCAAATGTTTGGTTAATGGCTTAACAGTAGGGTGGTCCTTATTTTTGAACTTTTGAAATTTTGATTTCTTACCCCCCCCCCATTTTGTTATTTGTTATAAGAAAATAATGTGTGTTAAATTTTGCCGCGATAGCTCACCCCATTCACCTGTCACAAGAGTGTTGAAAAATTACTAAAAGGGTAGTAAATTATATACAATTTTTCAACTCCGGGAAACTAGTAAAATGTATGATAATGTATAATTATACAAGACACGTTTGCTTATGGTTTAAACAACTTTCGAAACGGCAATATTGTCATAAATCATAATTTAATTTACAGAAAAGATAATAAATAATAAATTATCGTTATAACGTTTATATGTTATTGCATCGAGTTATTTTTTTTTTTTTGCTCGACATAACCGGTTTTCCCTCTGGTTATTCTGAGGCCTTACTGTATTTGTTATTGCATCGAATTATGTTTTTCATTTTTTGATCCTAATATATTGAGTAAAATTAAAAGAGAAATGGTGGTAGCTTTGAATACACTAAACTCATAACATTCATTTCAAAATAGAATTTAAATAAATGTATCTGATTCATCTTTTACTGAGAAGACCGTAGCTGATTTTGTAAACAAAGAGTCAATTGATTTTTTTAAGATATTAAATATACCGGTTGAATTTCTTGAAGTAGATCCAGACAATTGGGAAGAAAGAGAAGATTTTCAGTTGGGAGCAAATATTGTTAGTAATATGAAAGTGGTCAATGATTTTGCTGAAAGAGGAGTGGCCCTTATTCAAAATTACAACAATATACTGACGAAAAATGAATACCAAAAACAATACCTATTACAAGTTAAAGAAGATCACAAAAAAAGGTTTCCCGGTGCTCAAAAATATTATGATTTACCTATGTAATATTTTTCTTTATTTTTTTTAGCTCAATTAAATAAATCTGGCTATAACAATTTAGTAGTGCATCCAACTATTTAAGTATATATCCTAATATCATTTTTATGTGCAATTTAATTTTATATAATTTATTTAAATAATATTTGATCGATTATCAACGTTTCGGAAAATAAAGTATAGTAACTATAAAAATATCAATTTGGCCAAATAAATGTAATAATTTATAATTTTTTAATTTTCTTTAAATGTAATGGATTTACGAAAAATTATGTAAGAACATATTTTATAGAAATTTGTATGCTTAATAATTAATATTAAATACATTTTTGTGATAAATGCTTTAGTAATAAATTTAAAAATCTATAAAACTACCCTTTTGGTAATTTTTCAACTCTTAGTGACAAGTGAATGGGGTCAGTTATCGCAGTCAAATTTAACATACATTACTTTCTTGTTTATGGTAACAAAATGAGGGGGTAAGAAATTAAAATTTTTTTTTTTTTTTTCGTCTATGAAAAAGGACCACCTTACTTAACAGTTACATATTTTATTAGTGTTAAAATATTAGACGCTGTTCTTTGCATTCACCGTTAATGGTTTTTACAATTGTGTCATTACTGTTTTTGTATTCGCTCTTTTGTCATCCAGTATTTTTAAGTCTATAACTAAATATATGTTACCAGTATGTAGCTTTATTGCATGCTAAGAGATCTTGGCTCATTTGCTGTACTCGCACAAACCAAGACGGTACAGCTTTATAAATTAATGGCGTTTCAGAACGCCAACAGAAAGGATAACTGTGTTTTACTGAAGATGCATTCACAAGTTTTCCTGCTTCTTTTAAAAATTTAATTATATTTTTGTCAGCATCCTTAAAAAACAAAACACATTTATTTTTATTTTTCAAAACCATTATTAGATTTTAACTTAGCAAATACCTTAACATATTGGCCTTCAAAATCTTTGACAGGAGAAACAAACCGACCACTTTCATCGACCGGACACACAATATCTTGATCTCTAGTAATCACTCCAGCGGTTAAGCACACACGATAATCGTCTTCTCCAAAATATGGTGCTTGGTGAACAATACCAGTACCAGATTCAGCAGAGACATAATCGTCTGTCAATATGACAAAAGCTGTTTTTTGAGTCTAGACATAGATTAAAAAATAACTAAAATTAAAGGAATACTACTGTAAGATTCATTAAATAAACTTCTAAATGATTATCATAACTTTTTATTTATATATTTACAAAATAATTAAATATATAATAAACCCTTAACTACAAAAATAATACTCTATAGCGTATACTTATTTTGGCTTTAGACTGATGTTGATGACGGTAACATTGCTGTTGAAATATATATATATATATATATATATATATATATATGCTATAGAGTATTACTTTTGAGGTTAAGACTTAAGGGTTTATTTAAATATTTAATTATTTTTTAATACATAACCACAAGTGTTGCTTAAGTTTTTCCTAGATATATATTTACATAGTAATTAATTATTTCAAATCTATATACTCATTGTTAACTATTTTTCTTTACCTTATCATTTTTCTTCTTAATATATTTAAATAAGGTTTAACTATTCTTAAACAATAAATGTACATTGATAATAAAGACAATGATAAAATATTTAATTTTGACAAACATGTAAGTGTTTATAAAAATGAGATTAAAAATTTAATTACAACAATATTTTGGGGTCATTTCAACAACAATTAAAATTTTACCTGTAAAATAGTTAAAAAGTTTAATAAATGTATAGGTTCTATTGTTTATGGTTGACTAACTAATTAACTTAGATTATTTCCATTGTACATACTTGTGCAAAATATGGAAATAGTGGCTTGTATCTTTGCCCTTTTAATTTTTGTCCAGGGAAAGTATCTAATACTGTATAATCTTCTTTCTTTTTAAACAAGACTTCCAGTCGAGCTTCCATTAGAATATAGATTTTGTTATTCAAATCTTTTACTTTAGCATATATCAAATTAGGATTCACACATAATGCTAAATTACTAGGCAAAGTCCAAGGAGTTGTAGTCCAAGCAACTAGAGAAGCGGACGGGTCAGATTCTAATGGGAAACTGACCATAACTAAAATAATATATAATAAATAATGAAACACTGTAATTTACAAAATTAATTAGTTATACCTGCAGGATCAACAACTTCTTTATAATTTTGACCAGATTCAAAATTTGATAATGGTGTACTACAAGCAGTCGAATATGGCATGACTTTTACACCACGATACACCATTCCTTTATTCCAAAGTTCACTAAAGACCCACCAAACACTTTCCATAAACCATGGATATAATGTTTTGTAATCATTTTTAAAATCTAAAAAAAAAAAACATTATAAATAATAGTACAAGTATAAATATTTAAAAAAATTGTAAATACCGATCCAACGTCCTAATCTGGTAACAATTTTTTCCCAATCGCTCGCATAACGCATCACAATTTTTCTACATTCTGCATTATATTTATCAATACCCATTTTTGCTACATCTTGTGGTCCTTTTATTCCTAATAATTTATCGATTTCAAATTCCTAAAATGATTTGATTAATTTTAACAACAATACTACAATATTTAGTATTGACTAATTCATAAGTAGAAGATAATACACAATTTGAAGTTTTATACTGTGTTCTCATGATTGAATAAGTAATTATACAAACATTATATTATATATATATATAGACATTAAAAAATGTATTATAATTTTATAAACTTATAGGAAAAGCTTCAACGCTAAATTTTATCAACAATTAATGTGTAGGTTTAAATTTAGTTGGACAACCATCCGGATTGAGAATACATATTTTATATTCGATTCCTCCCTATCCACTATACTTTTGACTACAATCACAGTTTAAAACAATTTTCCCCATTGTACAGCCTTGGTTTTAACCCAAGTGAACTAACAAAGCCTGTGAGTCAGACTAGATTAACATGCAAGCTCATCAGGTAACTAGATTCACATTATTAATCTAGGAGTCTAGTTCAATTATCAGTCTAGATGAGAGAAATATGGGATATATGAAAATAAGATAAAAATAATATTACATTACATTTCATTCTAGTTTATATTTCGTAATAGTGATTACTTAAGCATAGACTTAATCAACTCACTACAGGTAAACCGTGTGTATCCCATCCAAATCTACGTTCGACATGATGCCCAGTTTGATGGGCATACCTTGTTACTACATCTTTGATAGCACCAGCTAATATGTGACCATAATGAGGAAGTCCAGTAGCAAACGGTGGTCCATCATAAAAAGAATATCTTGAAGAAAAAGCGAACAAGATTATTTAAGAAGTAAAAACTTGGAACCATAATTCTACAATATTATAGTACCTAGGTTTTCCTTTGGATTGTTTTAAACATTCTTGAAAAACGTCTATTTCCTTCCAAAACTCTAAAATTTTCTCTTCTTCCTTAGGAAAATTCAACGTTTCAGTAGCAGCTTCTACCATTTTAGAAGAAGTTATTGTTCTTGATGACAAATTACGGAGTACAGAAATTTCTCAGCGTTTTAAAAGGTTAAACACAAATCACAACAATATTACACTGGTGACTGAACACATCCGCATGTTGCAAATATTATCAGCTATTATGAAAAATAGATACCACACAATAGTGATAAATGATAATATTTGTACACGTGCCGGTACGACTGACCCGCCCCATGTGTATGGCAGTTGGGCCAAATCTACAATCAAAATTTAATGACATCACATATTACACCGTTTGCTTAAAGCTAAAAATTCTTAAAAAAAGGGTCATCTTAGGAATGTACTTTCTACAATACCTTAAACATTAGGAAGTATGAACAGATTAGGGTGAATAAAAATAAAAACTGAATACGGTTATGTATTCACTATTCACCTCATAGACCTAGGATTCACCCATATATTGAGACTGGAATCTGGATGTTTAAAGATTGTTATTCATTACTAAGTGTAGTTACTATCCATTTGTAAAATATTACACAATAAGAATTATTTTAGCTTAAAGGCATAAATTGTTTTCTTGTATATCTACAAAATTAAATACCTATTATGATTTATTTGCACAAGTAAAAAAAAAGAATTATATTTTATAATTTAAGCAGTTTTTTTTTTACAAAATATATATAACAGGTATTTTCTGTTAGGAAACATAGCAGGTACAAATAATACACTTATTTTACTTAAATACAGCACTTGTACTTATTAAATTTACATAAAAATTGAAGACTTCTTTACTGGCAGAATAACATTTATTCATGCACCGAGAGTATGTAGAAGGTGTAAACTGGCCATTCGTGTATGAAGACAAAAGCTTTTGGTCGTCGGAGTTGGCAAACACTAACGTTATATATGCGTGTGAATCCTAAAAAAACGAATTGTAAATAACATAAATATTATGAATGCATTATCATAATACATTTTAAAATAATATGTAAATGAAATATACTTTTATTTGTGATTTGTCAGGGTTAAGTATTATTTCTTCATCGTCTGTAATCGAACAGCTTACCGCAGCAAACAAATGATGCATGGCAATACCAGAGTTCATTAATGCTAAGCAAGAAGCATTTAAACTAGCGGATAACAGCTAAATACAAAAATAAAATATTTAAGTATAAAAGTATCAAAAAATATAATAGTATTTTGGAAAATTACATTGCCCCTATCTTGCATTTCCTGGACTGTAACAGCAATAGTTGTTCTTGGGTATTGGTGTACAACAACAGCATTTTCTACAGTCGATTGTATTATGCTTTCTAGTAGTTTGTCGTACACAGCTATTAATTAAAAAACATTATTCTATTATTATTTAATTGTTTGAAATACCACAATAAGTATACTTATGCTGCCGGTTTTTTTCCTGAATGTTACGTCAACATTCGATTGGTCATATAAGATTTTACTAGCCTTTGGTTCAAAAGGTCCTACTACAGAAACTGACACAGTAGTCTTACCTAAAAAAGCGTTTACAAAATTGTACAAAATGATTATGAAGATTAAACAAATAATAATGCAAGTACCCTGTGAAAGATATGCAGATCCTTCTGTATTTCCTAAGAAACCCAATTGGCATTTTAGGAAATCTTGAGACATTATAAACAATACTATTTATCGTCGTAAAGAAAAGACAAATTAATAAAGTCGGTCAAAAAAAGGAACCTAACAGCAATATTTCATTTCATATTTTGATTTTAGTTTTAACTTGAAAAATTACCTGCTGCAATTTGGCAATTACAATTTGTATTTTACACTTGAATCTTGATGGTTGACGGTTGTTATGTTATCCTATTCGTAAACCATTATCAACCTAACCTAAAAAATATCTACTAACCTAACACAAATTATTTTCTCGGTTTATTGTTACCATTTTTATTAACAACTGATAAGATAATTTGATTGCAATCAGCAATTAAAATGCGATTTTTATTTTTATGAAGAATGTCATATTTATTTTACTAATTTATTAATTTATGAACGATTTTAGCTCTCTATTAATGTTTACCATGCTGATTGTAGGGCATTCGTTACAAACTCTTATTAAATTTGTGTTTAAGTTAAATCACTTTATTATGAAATTTTCAGTTATAACTGTTTGAATGAGTTTAAATACTTATTCATGATATTCCAGTTTTTTTGCTTTCCTGGAAATAAATTTGCTATTGAATTTAATCAAAATGTCCGAAAAACCAGCGTCAAGAAGTCATGTTAGAACAATTGAATGGGACATGATGGATAAAACCAAATTTTTACCCTTAAGTATGCTTAGTTCGTTTTGTGTACGTTGTTCGCTTTATCCATTAACATTGATCAAGACACGACTACAGATTCAAAAACACGGAGAAATGTACAAAGGTAATACTGTTTGTTTCAACTGTAATATAAGTAAAAATGTAAATATTTATAATATACCTATTATGAGATTCATTTTTTTTCTCTATTGTGCTTTCAAAATAGTTCATTTTTAGTTGCTTTATTTGTTACATAGATTTATATATAAAGTAAATAACTAATAAGAAACATCTTGAAGTTTGTTTAATAATTAAATACCTATATTTTTATTATAGGTTTGTTGGATGCAGCTAGTCGTATTTATTCCACTGAAGGCATGTCGGGATTGTATCGAGGTTTCTGGGTCAGTTCTGTGCAAGTTTTTTCCGGTGTAGCTTATATTGGTGCCTATGAACAAACTAGACATATAACTGGCCCTTACTTACAACAATGGCCAGAAATTAGATCTTTGGTCGCTGGTGGCGTCGCTTCAGTCTTTGGTCAAACTATAATTGTACCTTTTGATGTGGTCAGTCAACATTTAATGATGCTCGGATTATCAAACAGTAAAAACAACAAAGATAAATTTGTGAGTAGAGAACATTTAACAGTTTCAAAACATGTATTTACTTTAAAACATTTAACTTAAACTTAATTAATTTTATATAAAATGAAATAATGTATGTATGTATTTTTTTTATATACATTTTACTTATCCCGATCTTGGATCAAAAGGTTGTAAGTGAGTTTTTTTGTAAAAATTGCCTTTTTCGTCTTTTAGGCTATACATTTTACCACTCTTTTTTCTAGCTTGTACGAAGCTCAATATGTTAAGAATCAAAGGAGTAATTGAGTGAAAAAAAATTCTATATAACTTCAAAATATTTATTATCGCAGACCTTAGTTAGAACTAATCTATCTAATATATAATCATGATTGAATTAAACAAGGTTATTGCATTTTTACTCCTTCTTCATCAAATTTTCGATGAAAAAATCAATGTGCAATAACCTGTATATTTCAACCATGGATATAATCTATTTATTTTTAAAATAAAATGGTTCTAACTAAGTCAAAAACTATTGTATTAGGAACTAATAATACTATATGTATTAAAAAAAATACAATTAAATGGTGTTATTAAATAAAAGATATGATTGTTTTGTGGGACTAGGGTCAATACACATTAGTTTGTATGTTAGGTTGGCATTACTACTGTAAAAAAATTTGTGGTGTAATATTTTTATTATTTTTTGCAAAACAATTCTATCTAATATTTTAATTTTTGTGCCAAAAGGTTCAATCTCTAGAACTATTTTATTTCAAGTTTCGTTTTATCAATATATTATTTAATTAAAAAGGTCTTAATTAACTGTTGAGTTACCTACCTATAACTTTTGATATGATTTAAAATTAAAAATCTTTTGATATTTTTTTTACGTCTAAATTGAAACATTATAAGCTGAAAAATATTTGACTGCACTTAAATAAATTAGCTCTCCTGAAAAATTACTTACAAAAATTACTAGAACTTTTTGGATCCCTAATCCACAATATAAAATATAATAAATATTTAATTTTTTTTAATTTGTTTTAGTAAGATTTATTATTAGTAATGAGTTAATTTTTGGTTTAAGGACTTAATAACTTATTTCAAAATGGTGTCACAAACTTCGCCTTTGCTATAGTACATAAATATATACAATTCATATTTAGTCTAAAACTAAATCGTTTAATTGGGGTTTTTTTTGCTTAAATATTTTACAGATATATTTTCGTCCTTTGAATGTTAATTTGGATATGTCAAAATCAAAATTTCGTACTACGTTAGATATAGCTCGTTGTGTCTATCAACAAGATGGTTTCAAAGGATTTTATAGGGGTTATGTCGCTTCGGTATGTACATATGCTCCAAATAGTGCTTTGTGGTGGAGTTTTTATACTATTTTTCAAGGTAAATGACTTATATTTAATTCATAATTGATTATTAGCTTTATTATTCATATTATTAATAAATATAGAGAAATGTATAACCAATGTAATTAATGTTATATATAATTAAAGGAAATTATCTGTGTGTGCTCTGTAAGCGAATTGTGAAACAAAATGTGTTTAACTTTAGCATGTTTTTTAAATGTTTTTTTAGATCAACTTGAAATAAGATTACCAGTAAACACTTCTCTTTTGTTAATGCAGAGTGTATCAGGGGTTTTAGCTGGATTTACTACCACCCTTATAACAAATCCAATGGACACAATTAGAGCTCGTTTACAAGTGTGTATAAAAAATTAGCGTTGCCATTTGAGTTATCCAAACCTTATAATTGTCCAATTAAATTAACATTTTATAGGTTCAAAGAACTAATTCAATTGTAAGGACTTTTAGAGCCCTTTGGGACGAAGAAAGGATGATGATGTTCACCAAAGGACTTTCAGCCAGATTAGTGCAATCTATATGTTTCAGTTTTACAATTATTTTAGGCTACGAAAGTATCAAACGAGTGAGCGTACTTCATGAATACAAAGACCGAGTGCGATGGTAATATGGATTTTGGCCCAAAGTAATGTAATGTTTTGTTATAATGAGTGTTAACTACGGTTTTGGTTCACCCAATGTAAAAACTGTTGATCTTTATGTTGTAAAATTAGTACTTATGTTTCTACCATTAATGACATTATATAGTGATTATTATTTTAACAGTTACCTATAATTGTTTTTTGTTTTTGTTATATGTAATCCATTATTGTTTTACACTTACAACAAATATATAGTTTTTAGCGTGCAATAAAGTACCTTTTTTTAAAAAAAAAAGTGTTCCCCTATTTCTATTTTTTTAATTTTATTTTGGTTCACCCACTATTAGGTAGGTGAGCTATATGGTTAACTTATTATTAAAACTTTATAAAAGTTACATTGAAGTCAAGTGTCTTTTGTGGTGTATATATAATGGGAGAGGGTCAGGTAAAACTTGGAGCATTATAACCATTCCCGATATTGAAATATTATTAATAGAATATTTATTTTCATAGATTGAAAAAACATACAATGTATTTTGTATACGTTGTAAGTTTAAAGAAAAGTTTGTTTTTATACTCATTCCAAAAATTATTTCTGGATACGCTGTTGTGCGCATGGTCAGATACTCAAATTTATGTGTATTAAATACTTGCTTACTTTATTATTAAACTCATTTGGTAATTTGATTACGTACTTTATTATTAAACTCATAGTGACAATATGTTAACAATGTTATTACTATTTGGAATTTTTAATTTTCAATAAGTCGTTAGTTACTAAAAATAAAATAATGATAGTTTTTCTATTTTTTCCTAATTATTATAGATGCATTAGCTCATAAAATCAGACCATTAACCATGTTTGTGAAAGACCACTACAATAAATAAATATAATTTTTAAAAAAAGTCAGTACAGTGGACATAAGGGATAGTGGGGATGGAGTACATTGGTTAGGTTAGGACTTAGGTTTCCAAAAATTCCGCCTCTTTTGAAGGAAAGGGGTTATGATATTTTGTTTGTTTGTGAACACATATTGGTAACACTAGGTCTAAAGAATATTACATGCAGATTTGGAGATAATTCGACAATTTTTCAAAAAAGTTATAGCGCGCCGCATTATGAAGTCGAAAAATATGTAAATTTGTTGGGTGTATTTCTAACTTTTTAAATTTTTGGTCTAATAAAGGATCTTCTAAGTACAATTTTTGATCTGTAGATTTGCTACGTGACGAGTAGGTCCAGCGGGTCAACAGATATCGTGGGTCCAGACACAAAAAAATAATAAAAAAACCCATCATCGTTAAAACAATACCTTCTTAACTACGCATCATTAGAGCTAAAACTTAAATGGCAACTACTAAAAATTGTAAAGTAATGCAATAATGTAAAATTGTTCAAAATGATTATTTTCTCGACTGATTTTTATTACTATTTGTCTATAAAATGAACTTAAATTTCTCTAAAAAGAGACGAGAGTACTTTCAAATGGTTGTTTTTTCAAACACTAAAAAAGTGAATTTTATTTGTAATTAAATGTTAATTCATTAGGTAGACAAATGTGGGTAATTAAAAGGCCATGTATACGAAGTATTTTATAAAATAATATTGGTCGGTATCCAAATATACGTTAACATAATCAAGTGAGTTCTTCGAAGATCTCAAGAAAATAAATGGAACCTTTTTATTTTACACTACAGTAACGGTAGATATTAGTCACCCGTTGATCTATTTTGTTGTTGTAAAAGTTGATATACAAAGTATGGCGGGAGAGCCTCTCTATTGTCAATACAATTATTTTCGAATAGGTAGTCCCAAAAGATAATTGCAAGTGTTTGGGTAATGACGCTCATAGGAGAGGGGTTAGGTATCATACCCACTTCTCCCTCAAAATGACCATCAATCAGGGTTGGACTAGTTCTATAGCACCGAGCACGGCCCGGGCAAAATAATTTCGAACGGCCTCAATGTAACTTTATAAGTAGGTACCTAATCAAATGTTTGTTAACTGAAAATGTATCTTCGTAACTCAAAAAATAATATATACATAGGTACATTTGAATATTTTCAGATTTAATGTTATACCTTAAATAAATCAAGTTTGCGCATAATATAATAATTAGTAAGTCAATAACCTATTTATTTTATTTTTAACCAAAAAAATTTAATAATTAATATCTAAATACATCATAGAAAATAATTAAACTTAAATTTTACAAAAGATAACATAAATTAATTTTTATCCAGTACTTGGCTTCTTTAAATATAAATATATTTAAAAAAAAAAAGGAAAAACCTAAAAAAATGTATGTGTATTTATTAATTTTATACTACTAATATACTTTTCAATACTGACTTTTGTTGAACAACTTCATTAGTTATGTCTTCAAATGAAAGAGATTCTAAAATGTCTTTGTTTAGATACATCAGCATCCAAGCATTCAAATTATCCATCATCAAACGATTTCTTAATCGAGTTTTAATAAATGTTTAAGTTGAAAACTTCTTTCACATCCAATTTGAGTACAAGACAATGTTAGTACGTATTTATATGCAGTAAATAAATTATTATATGCTGAAACGTATAGTCTATACTTAAATAAGACATTATAACAGCATAATAAGCAATTCAAACATCGTTTTTTTTCTTTGCATTGTTCTATTTTTTGTTGCTGGTTTTCATTAATCAAAGTTATTTCTCCTTCTTCTTCGTCATCTTCATTGTCTTCTTCCTGCACTAAATACGTCTCTGGCAATTTTAATTTCAATTTTTCCCATTTGGAAGCAAACTCTTTAAGTTCATCTTTTAACACAGTATTTTCAAATCCAAGTAGTTTTGATAATTTTACAAAAGCAGTAACTGGTAATTCTTTTAAAAAATTCCTTGGATCAAGACATGCAAAATCAGCACTTAATCTAAGTGGTCTTATTTAACCAAAATTACAGCGGCCCACCGGGGAATGCCCCGGTGCCCCGGTGGCCTAGTCCAACCTTGCCACCAATCCCGAAGTAGGGATATACAAGAATTTAAAAATCATGTAACTATAAAATAAAACAAATTTTTTATTACGATATTATTCTTTCTTGTGGTTCTTTATTTATTATTCTTCTCACAAGTAACAATATCTATATTATAGATATGTAGGCAATGCCATTGAGAATAATTATTAATGTGTAATGTTATAAGTAACGGATGAACAATATTGATCAAACAAAAAAATAATTGATGAGCCTTGAAATGACTATTGTCATAAATCATAGTATTAATAATATGGCTGTGTACCTAATCATTGCTGAAAATTTCAATTAAAAACTTAACAATAGGTACAATAGTTACAGCATTTATATTAAGATGAAAAATCAAGCTCTAACATAATAAAAACACATGATATTATTTATTGTGTGTGTACTTACTTGGGACTTAAGAACATTTGTTGGTTTTAAAGCCGACTACGAATCTGGCATACTTGAAAAATACTCAAGTGAAGGCTGAAGCGGTTATATAATGATTAGACTGAATACCATCCGCCTTAATTCACATGCGTGGTCATCGATACATCGTTCGGTTGTGCTAATTATAATAAAACTTAATCTACTTGACGGTCAAACAAAAATGGTATGTCATTTCAGGTAATTTGACTCTTATAGCAATTTTATATTGTGTAGATGTAGATATATTCCAGGCTCCAGCAAACCCACTTAAGCATGTAGCGATTTTAAACTATGTGAATTTAGCAATCCTAAATGAGAAATTTGAATATTAGTATTTTTGTTTTTAGTATACATGTAATTTAAGAACGAATAGAAAATATGTATCATCTGGAATAATAAATACAATAGCACGTTCACGGGTCTCCTGCCTAAATCGAACATTAACATTTTTTGTTTATTAAATTGTTTTATTTTACAGCAGCTGTTATGTATTATAGTAATAGGGTGATAGTACCCCGTACTCGTGTTAATAAGAAACTTTGTTTAAAACGTATTGGTTATACTATCAGGAGACTAATGGAATTCATAAATCTAAAACATAACTCATTCAAGATAAAAAGGTATTTAATAAGTTCATACTCTTCATAATGTTTTCACCACTGTTTGCTGTTACTTATCCACAACTCTTGATGGACTTATGACAGAGTCGGTCGAATAACTTTTGATCTGTAGAACGGTGTAAGATATAAGAGAATCACCTTGTTGTATACTATAATAGAAAAAATAATAATAGAATTTAATGAACAATTTTCTACACGCAGTAGGAGTTTCAAAGAGCACATCGAAGGTCAATGAAGATAAAGTAGGTATCCACAAATGGAATAGAATAACACATAGACCGAGTTAGGCTTTCATATTTTATTTTACAAGTGTAAGGCGCCGACAGTTATGGAATCTTACAAGTTACAATAGAAGAAAGAAATATATTTATATGTACACATTAAGTATGTTTACATTGTAGTTAAGGAACTGCTAGAGGGATCTAGCCTAATGCAAAAACAATCAGTATGTTATATACAGTATACTACAATAGAAACGCCTTTATGAATTAATTCATAGTTATTTTTTGGGATTTAACAGAGAGCACAAGAAAAACAATATGTTATTACATTATTATTTATCAAGTCATAAGTAATATAATATTAACTAATTACTATATTAGGTTATAATTATATTAGTTAATATTATTATGTTTACGATTAACAACGTCGTTTGTCTTTTATCACTTCCAGAAACGATCGAGTTTTAAAAATAAATATACTTAGACCAGACGACGATTAATGATGTTGCCGAGTGATTTGTGTCGGCTTTAGAACAATTTCGGTGAACTTGACCCCTGCCATCGGTGCACAGTTGAGCGTTTGTTTTTACTTTTCAAATCGTTTTCGTGCCAAACACTAAGTTAACTGTACGGCGTAACACGTTTTTTTTAAAGGCAATGTCGGTCGTCAGCACAAGATAATAATATTATGATGATCATTCGGTCATTCACCTGTTTTTCATAATAAAATAGAGGATAATGATTGGCAGCTATCCGGTCTATGTGAAAAATAATTTTCTTGAAATACCATAAACAACTAACACAACTAACTGACCATATTAAGACCATTTTTATTAAAATTATTCAACTTTATAGTAGACTTAACAGCTGTTAACAATTAACCCAAGTCCCGATTCGTGTTTTTAAGCTAAATGAGATATGCCCAAGTCTACAATATCTTCTATAACATTTTTTTTCTTTCTCCTTCGAAATTGTATTTTGATAAGTAACGTTTGTGTTTCTTTGCCACACGCTAACCGCTTACGGTGTATGGTTTTTTATTGACTTAACGTCTGTGCCAATTGAATAATTTCCTCGAAGAATGGTCAAAATGGTTTTCTCATCAACGCTACAGCTGGTCTTCGCCTGTAAGGCCGGCACGTGATCACAGATAGTCGGCTAATTAATAAGCGATTTTGCGGTCGTATACCTTCGGAATAATTTCAGTAAGAGAAGTAATGCTGGTCAAAGCCTTGGCACCTTTAGCAGTGTCGAGCACTTCAAAGGAAGAACGTAGGTGAATATACATTCGTTATTGATATAGTCACAGTAATGAAATTAGTTAGGTGACTCGAGACAATAGACACGCGTTTTAAGCGTTTTTTTTTAGATTTTAGTATGTGAAATTATTATTATATTATCGTATCCTCGTTCGTTTTTAAGCAATAAAGTACAGTTTGTAAACAGTAGACATCTTGTAAGAGTACTCTGAAAGAAATGACGGGTTTAACGATGGCGCGGCCCCTGTAGATAGATTATCAAGTGGGAACACGTTGAAGATCGCGTTCTCAGCTTAAACTCTTTGTAGGCTATCGCCAGGCCACCACCTGTTAAGTAAAAAAAAAAATAAAAAAAAAATACATCAATGATTCAGTATTCAAACATTAACTTTCATGCGCTCGCGCCTCCTAAAGTTACACTGCCGCTCGCGTGGACGGCAATTTGGCCGTCCTTATTTTTTTATCATTTTCGTGAGTTATTCTTTATTAAAGTGGATGTTTCGAAATATTTAAACTCAATTACCTCTGACACAACATTGGAACATAAAAAATGTTGACCAAAAATGTTTATTTAAAAAATAATAGAAATATCCTTCATTCGCTCGCGTGGACGGCAAATTGGCCGTCCTTTTATATTTTCGAGAAAAATTGTCTTTAGAGCACCGAGGGAGTGGTAAAAGGTTCTTGTAATTTCTATTGACACTTGCCTTTCCTATATGCCTCCTTTTTCATAATATAAATCCAGATCGTAAGTATAAAAAATACAGGCAAAAATTCTCGTTTTCGCTCGCGTGGACGGCAAGTTGGCCGTCATACTGACACTGAGTTTGTGGCTATACTGAACTGCTGGGGTGGACTGGTTTTACCAAATTCGATCATATTTTATCGGAGAGATGTATAACTAGAGAATACATACCCTTCTCACCACTTCCTTGGCACTTTGGACAATAATATTTGAGAAAATGTATAAGGACGGCCAATTTGCCGTCCGCGCGAGCGCATGAAGGTTAAGCTTTTAACTTTTGGAATACATGATGACTTATGTAAAAAATAGAGTTACTACTTACTACCAGCCGTTATAGGTACTCAAACTAGAAGTAAAAAAAAATCTATAATTTTCATTGGGCTCTAAATGCATTCACATTATAATATGTGTACATTTTTGTCCACAAACCATTTGTTGATTATAATAATTACGTTTTGTAGGTAATTAGCGTTTGTGATCTTTTATATTGCGTAAAATATAGGTTATTATTATTAAAACTCATGTTTTACAAAATTATTTTTTACACTCGTGAGGTTTTATACAAAAATAAAGTGCTATACTTTTCATAGGTTGAAGTCTGAAAATATCATACACAGTACATTGAAAGATCTGTCATCGTAAAAACAACTGCGTATTTTGTACCAGCTTTCATGTTGTGATTTTCATGTGGTTAATAGAGTTTAGCGCAATTGATTATGATTCATGCAATCACTTTTACAACATCAAGTTTTAGAATTAACCCAAATCCATTCTAGGTTGTATATCTCAAATTTATCTCGAGTGATCATCATTGGCGGATCCGTTGACTGTAAATGTGAATTGGAAACGATACCTAATTTACAGTTTACGATAAAGAAAGACACGTGTGTTGAAATCATTATTGTATGTACTGTGTATATCAAAGCGAGTGATTTAAATTTTCCACTCGACGGATTTGTCAGTACGTTCATAAGGTTTCACACGTGTAACTTACACATTATGAATACACTATTTATTATTATTGTTTAGGCTTACCTATAGCTGTTATTAGCTTTCGAGTAGAAGACAATAATCACTGATCCGGTATGCGTTCTATGGTTAAATGAGTATTTTAAAAGTTTCGGCTATACATGATCTATGCGATAGTCTTTTTTCCAAATCCTTTATCTTCCTGACGTCTGACAAGCAAATTTTACATATTATTGTACTATATAATGTCGTCGGCCATCTCCGCCAACGCCTCTGTTATTTCTCTCCATTGTTCCTGCGATTAGTGTCACTGTATTTGCTATAATTTGTGTCCTTTTGTCGTCGAGTGTAAACCGTTTTGAATACAAAATGAGCCCGACGGCCGTCATGCTCGCCGCAGGACTAAGGTAGGGCGTGCGATACCCTATCTCGCCTATCTTTGGGACGACAGCGATGTCTATCGTACTCTGTACACAATATATTATAAATGAATTCATTAATTAAAATGTTAAATAAATAAACGTTTTTTTAACTGATTCCAAAGTTAAAAGCCAATAGCAATTATACAGTATTCGTAGTGCGTTGATAGTGTTGGATGTCGGGTCGCATATTGTCGATTGACAACCGCAATTAAAACTTGTTACGTTATTGCTACAGGAGGACCTCGGAGACAAGCTAAGACTGTCACACTTGTACATAGGCCGTAAGATCAAGCTAGGATGTGTTTACCAAGCACCGATAATCTGTTGAAACTATTCAAATTAGAAAAATCCAACCTGCGAATCAGAACGTGAAATACATGATAATGTTTAAACTACAGTAATGGGACTCGACATGACCCGCCTGTAGATTATATAATTTCATATTATTTTTTTTGTCTACATATAAAACCAAAACGTAGGATTGAAAGTATATAATATATTTACACTACCATGGCAACACTCTAATCGAAAACACTCCATTTTCGATTTATTGCACCCGAAATTACCAATGTAAATTATTAACATATGTAAATAAACGATAAATAACTGTGTGCATATTATTGTATACCTATTCAATGGTGGTTATCGCTTGTCACGTTTACAGTCGAAGAATCTCGAATGCAAACATTATAATAATGGCTTTGGGCCACCCAACGCTATTTTATCGTTAGCAGCTCGACATACTTACGTTATGTGTGTACTCAAAATTAAAATGATTATCCTATGCAATTAAACCCGCATAATTTAAATAACCGTATAATTAAGATGACTTATTTCCTATTTCGAACGTTCGCTTCGGGTATCAAATTCCATATTCTTATAATTATTGTAAAAACTTTATAGAGTATCCGTCTTGGCGGCGTAGCTTTGTGCAACCAAATTAACCAACTAGACATTATAATTTTATAATGCCACGGAATTACGGGTTAAAAAGAATTAGGCGCTATATTATTCAAATGGGATGGCTATTTTTATTAACTGACGGGACAGTTGTTCAAATATTAATTTAATGTACTGAATTTGTATACAAATCGAATCTATTGAGATATTCATTATTAACCGCTTCGCCGTGCTAAAAGAAAAAGCCTAGAGACATCAAGCAGTTAATAAAAAATAAAAAATATTATAATGAGCTCAAACTTCTTGTAATGTATAATAATACAAATACGAATTGTACCTAATTTTACACAATACTTTAGCTACCTTATTTAACTGATTGATTTGTGTCAAAGGAAAACTGCAACGGACTATATTTGACTAATTAATTTAAATGATCTTTTTCTTCTTCCCAACCATTTAGGATCAACCTCCCTAGTCCTAAACCTTCTTTTTCTTCCATTCATATTCTATATATTCTGTTTTACTTGTACTAATCCTTTTATTAATCCTATGGTCTACCTAATTTAAATAATACCCGAGAAGAAAATAAATTATCATTCGAGTTTGGAAAAAAACCGTCATATTACGTTTGTTTAGATTATTTAGTACAATTTTGTATCTTTTGTCTTAAAGTTACTAAAACCATTGATTATACATATTAATATTTATAATCAATGCTAAAACGAAACCACAAACGTATTACTTATGCTAAAATATTGCTATAAGTACTATAATTTAAAAAATATTGTGTATATTGTGAAAATCAGAAATTTGTATGTTACAAAATATGTTACCCAAAAAACCTTGTACATGATAAAAATCTACCATGCATCACATTATCGTAGATTTTTTGCATGTTAACATCATTAAGAGATTTTTTTTAACAATACTGTAATTTTCTTAACAGATTTTATCGTTCTAGTAATCACATGACTGCGGCGTACATGTTGTACCTACGATTTAAATGAATGTGTTCCCCGACTTATGTTTTCGTGCTTAAGTATACCAAATAAAATATTGTGTAAGCGAGTAACGGCTACGGTCCACATCACAGTTTAAGACCGTTTTTTACATTTAAAATCTGATTTTAATGTCTAACCTCGATATTATATTGTTCACAAATCTCAACAGATTCCTGTCTGACGACTTTAATTCAGGTTGAAAATGAGACAGCCAAAAAACCGCTTTAATATGGTATTAAAACATTTTGGACAGAAATAAAATAAAAACAATTTATTATTAATGTAGTATTTTGGTCGTGTAAACAAAATCCAAACGTTTTTTGCGGATTATCTATATCGAGGACTGTGTTATTTATCTAAAACACTATGTTCAAAAAGAATTTATTTATTTTAAATTGTTTCATGCGTTCGGTATGTCATGTCGATGGGAGTGTACGATTTTTGAATACTCGACACACCGGACAGCCGGTTTACATAGAATTGTATTTCGAGGAGTTTTTATAGCACACATTCAACCGCGGTCTTTGTTTTAACAGATAGGTGTGATTCGAGTGTCAGATCATAATGGCGCGCTTAGTCTACAACAATAACGGGCATTTTATATTGATATCAAGGTCTATTATTCAACGGTTTACGATTTGTAAAAGGTTTGGGTCGAATGGGCCTCAGGAAACAACAAAATTCATACGGCTGAGAATAATTTAAAATGTAAAATAATTGAATAAAAAGTTCTGGACTGATTACAACTAAAGATTCAAGGGCATTAAAAATGTTGATATATAACTGGGTAAAGTATCATTGAGAATAAAAAAAAAAAGAACTAATATTAATCAAAATTTTAATTGTCTGTTAGAAAATGAGGTGATCAAAACCAAAAGAGTACAAATTGCTTATACTTTTAAATGTTTTATTTTATAAAAACAACACATATTTTTTAGTCGGTTTTGAAATTCAGAACTGTCACTATTTTCATTCAAGTAAAATTATATTTTTGCATAAAAAACACTGAATCGTGATAATGTTATGTTAATGTGGTGCGAAGCCGTAATCGTTAGTTTTGTTTGTGAATAGTTCCAGCTGTTGGTCTATAATCTATATAGGACGAGGGTTATCGATGTTGTCAATCGAACGTCATGCACAACACACGCAGACGAAGATCTCAAAGAGGTTCGTACCGATCGGTGTCAACGACACTATGCTATACGAAAAAAACCATTACTTATCAGTTTTACGACTCGAAATACGAATTACAAAATTAAGTCGAATACTCGTATTATGCACGAGTCACAA